TTTTCAAACAAAATTTAGAAAAAGCACAATTCTTCTTCTTTATCGACACCTCGTTAGTTCACTGTTACATAGCCGGACAGAAAAAATCTCCTCTTTCTTCATAATGTCTGAAAGCATTTACTCGTTAAACTTGAAAAATAACAATTCCTGCGACGCGACTTTGCTTACAAAACCGATTTTTGATTTCCATCGGGTCATAAAATACTGTTATGGGTTCGACTTAAGGTCTCTGATGATAACCAAAAAAACCCATCGTCTCGATCCGTCGCCGTTATGATTTTATATTATATAATTGACACTTAAACTCAGGCGAGCTGTTACAAAATATCAAGAACTACAACCAATAGACAGAGAAAAAAAAAGTCCGACAATAATTTGTTGTTGTTGTTTTTAATAAAATGCGATTAAAAGGTATAGTTCTGATCTTGCATTAAAACGCCATCAGATCCTTAATGCAATGTTTGAACACGTTTTGACAATTACATTTAAAACTTTCATGAATTCGGAGAAACAAAAAGTTATTCATAAGAGGTGATAGCGAAGTTCACTAATGTCCATGACCAGTCATCTCTTTCCGATTTCCAAGAAAAATGGAATATACATTCACGGGCTCAACAATGTCCAGGTACAATAATTCCATTTCCTCCTTACTCAGCTTCCTCGCTGCATCTGTAAATCGAGAATCATACAGTAGACCATCTGGATTATCCAGCTTAATCTCATTTCTGGTGGTACATGGTGTGCTAATACTGCGCCTTCCCGGTTGTACTTCACTGGGTTGGAAGTGGTTCTTTTCTCTTTCACTGAAGCAACGTCCCTCCCCCACCCGTAACAAAGATCTCCTTTTCTTTTCTCTGTCGTGGATAGCAGATGGGTTAGGCCGTATGATTTCAAATAATCTCATCTTGCGTTGCTTTTCTATTTCGTCAAAAACTTCTGACCAGCTTTGAAATTCCTCCAGATGAATTGTTATACTCATGTCTGCAACGAAAACTGTGCGAGCAATACTGACCAATACTTAAATAATCCTTTCGATGGACTACTTTCCACCTAAATAATTAGCTGCTGCCTGAATGCTTCAGAGTGTTTTGACAGTCTGAAAATACATTAAGGAATTTGCAATTTATTTATGTCGGTTCCTTTATCTCTAAAATCCTGGATTTGTAACCAAGGCGTTTTCTGCAAACATTAATCCTTGGATACACTACATTTCACTACAGCACCGCCCCTGGTTTCACCGCCTATTTTCCAGTCATTAACCCTTTAAGGCCCAATATCTACGGACAAATTCTCTATCCTTATAGCTACTCGTAGAGAGTTTGTTTAAGAATTTGACAAAAAGGCGGAGCCATTTTCTTTTAAGGATCATTTTAAAAATTCTCATGACCATTTTTCTTGGTTACGCATTGATATTTTAAGGAGAAAATTGATGTTGGTCAGTCATTAAAAACAAAACAGCAGCACGTCTATAAAGGAATGAGTTCAGTGGCTAGATCTGTGAAAGACAAAATTGAAAAACCAATCAAGGCGAGAGATAATAGTCTGCTACACAGGCGTTTTTTATATCGTAGCTCTCTGATCTGATTGTTTATAACATAGCTTGTTTTGAAGTAGTACTAAGTTCAAGTTCAAGTTCAAGTTCATTTATTCACACTCATTCATTTACAATACAACAACACTGACAACAATTTAAATGGTTTCCTCCAGCTCTTTGTTCATTGGCCGAGTGAAAACAAAGAAGCCGACCTTGCTGGGAGGTGGGTGCGTAGAGATTTGTCTTAACGAAGTAATGTCACCCTCTCCCGGTGAGTTATTTTGAGGCAAGCGCCCAGTCACAGCCGAGCGACAAAACGGTTGAAATGTTACGCTTTTAGTAGTCACGGATAAATGATATCTACGTGTCGTAACTGTTCATCAGTAGGATGCCTAAAATGTGGGCAATTCCACAATTTTTTTCGGCTCCATTTAATCCTATGCCAACTGCAGAACGTTTTAGGAGGAGCCACCCACAATGTGAGCACAGTCACAGGCAACACATATAAATGAGAAAAATAACGCAAAGTAAAGTTAAGAAGTTATTTAACGAACTAAATGTACACGTCAATTAAATAAACAAATAAATAAATAAATAAATAATGCACGCGCACAAAATAAAACTGTGCGCGCACACGTACTAACTTAAAGATACGACTGAAATACAAATCTAAGTAATAAATAAGTGATGTAAGGGTACGATGGTGCAATTCAAGTCTGGATTGCTAATCTCATCTCCGGCGGGGCTGCGCGATACTTTCGACTATAAGACCACAGCGATTGAAGAATTTATTAAATGATTTCTGAAATAGATTGGTTTCAAAGCCTTGTTGTCTGAGACGTAATGAAAGTCCGCGGATGACATTGTGCGCATTGCCTAATCCGGTTCCGATTCCAATTTTTGTTCTCCGATCCGATTTCAATCCTGACTGCAATTACTATTTCGATTCGGATTACGATTACCCGTCCGATTATGATTCCAAATCTAATTCCAAATTCAATTACGATTCTGATAGCGACCTCGTATTTCGAATTCGATTAACCCTCGGACATCCAGTGGGGCGGGGCAAGCCACCCACCGTAAGGTTTTTCTGAGATTTTCCTAGAGGATAAAACATCGGTACCTGAAGTTTTTAGTAGCTGTTCATTCATCCCTTGCGTACTTTTTAAGACAAGTTTAGTGATGGTCAGTTGCTATGGTTACGAGCTATGACGTCATAAGTAGCAGGTGCTCAAACCAATTTTGGGTGAAAATACTTGTTTTTTCAACTTCTTTCAACAATAAAAGTAAATCTTGTGGCTTAAATCATGCAAAGTGCTTATTTATGTTATATTTTTCACGTAAAGCAAAAAAATTACCATTTGTCGCGGTTTTAACGTGATTTCTTATTCTTGGTAAAATCCAAGATGGCGACCATTGTTTGTGACTTCACAGGCCTCCAGCAGCGCCACCACCCATAAAATATACCTCATCTTGTATTCAAATTCCGAGAAAATTATAAACCTCGCTATTGCTAAGGCCTTCGGCTGTCACTTCGCGGGTAAACAGTATGTTTCAGGAATATCTTCGCTCACGTGTCACGCTAAATTACAAAACCGCTTTCATGTGCACGAGCCGAAATTTAGAGAAGTGTGGCGCCACGTTTCCAAGGGAGCAAAATTCTTGGATTTCAACAATCTTTCTTGACATGAAACGATTGAAGAGAAGTACGGGTTACCGTTTTGTTTCTGAGTCTAATCATGCACAGGAAAGTCATACATGTCAATTTTGTCCTTTTTTCCTTTGCCATATTTGCAGGACCATTGTTAGTTGAGATCCAGACATTTTGCTACCATGCAACGTGACGTAACGACTTCTTCTCTATTGTCTTGAAATGGGTGATCACGCGATGGGTGATCATGAAAAAACTTGAACCACGTTTCATGAGTTAAAGAAAAGCCTCAGTCATTAGGGCACCCTCTATATTTTCTTTGGCATGACGCCCTAACGTCCTCTTTGATCTTATGATTTGATTAAGTGAGAGAGAATGAAAAGGTTGACTTGACGCTTTTTTGTAAAGAATTTTACTTCGAAATGTTGTGAAAACATTGGCTTTTTTTTTCGGCTGTCACTCAAAACCGTCCAACCATAACTAAATAAACTTAACCTCCAGCCGCACCCTGAAATGTAATTTAATTTGAGACTTTATTTTTAGGACAGATAATAACTTTAACTACATAACAAAAAAATCCGTAGTAAAAAAAAAGGACTACAGCAATTTACATTTACTTTTATAAATTACGGTTACATGGAGGACATTCATTGCATAAACTTCAAGTTCGATGATTTAGATTCTACTAATAAATATAAAGGCAAAAAATCTTCCATCGTAAAGAGAGGAGTTTGAATTCACTTCAAAGTTCACTTGCGATATGTCATCTCAGTTTGTTTTCGTTTTTCAATCAAAATTGAATAGACATCGACTGGCTTGACTATGTCCTCGTACAGTAATGCCATTTTCTCCTTGCTCAGCTTCTTTGCTGCTTCTGTGAATCGAGAATCGTTATGTAAATTATAAGGATTAATTCCATCACTGATCGCACAACACGGTGAACTTGTACTGCGCGCAATCGGCTGTATTCCGGCGGGTTTGTGGCTGCTCTTGTTCGCTCCTCCGAAACTGATGCGACGTCCCTCTTGAACAGGCCGTAAGAACGATTTCCTTTTCTTTTCTCTGTCATGGATAGCAGACGGGTTGGGCTGTATGATCTTGAATAATTTCATCTTGCGTTGCTTTTCAATTTCTTCAAAAATCTCTGACCAGCTTTGAAAATCTTCCAAATGAATTGTTACACTCATGACTGCTCTAACAGAAGACACCCAGTGAGTGAGTACGTGCTTGCGGTGTATTTATTTTTGTGGTTGAAGGTTTTAAAATCCAAAAATGGTCAGCACTTACTTTCTCCTTAGTTGTACCGTACATTTATTAGCAACTGGTAAGGAGAATATGGAGTATTTGACGAGTAACGAGCGGGCGATCAAAAGGGTACGATTTAGCATCCCTTGACGTCAATAGCCTTATTTGTTTAAAACATGCGTGTCAATTCCCTTTGCTACGGAAAATTTCCTTAGACCCGGTTTGCAATTTAAACTTCTTAATTTAATTTTGAAGGTTCAACTTGGTTCACTGTTACCCTTAATGCTACCGTGCAACAAACTCAACCGGACATTTTTGAAATGCAAACAAAAAGACCTCGTTTTTGATTGGTAAACTAACTAACAAAGTGAGAAGTCGGTCTTCTTTGTGTCCTGAACGTGGCCTGTGATTGGCCAACTTATGATGCGAGGACCCGGATGCGGATGAGCTCGATGGTTTATAATTTGAGGCCTACTTGGGTTCATCCAGGCCATAGATTTGCTACTCCTTGATCCTCACTTTAAAGGAACTGTGACAAGAAATTTATCAAAATTCCAACATTGGAAAAAGAGAGCAAGTTGTACCCATCGCTTTAACGTGCGCCTTCGCCTTACTTCTTCCTTCCCCTCCCCTCTTAAAAGCCTGCCGCGTAGTTCAAAGCACCACCTAACAGTGCAGTACACGCGACTCCTTCTGGGTAATTAAGCGCGCACAGGTTACCCGCTAATGACAAACGATATAAAATAAATAGAGTTTAATTTGCCGTAGTACTCGTATAGCATGTAATTATCGTCGGTATTTTATCATGGTTTCGATATTAATTCAATATTTTCTCTTCAAACGTCAGTGATACATGTATGAAAAATCGACAAACACTTCCCATTCATAACCTTTTAAGCCCCATTATCCGCATACAAATTCTCCACATTGATCACCGCTACATTTTTTAAGAACTAGTTGATCAGATAATTTTTTGTTGAAAGATCAAAGTATCTTTGGAAGCCACACATTAATGCTGAATGATGTTGGTTAATCATATTGAACCGAGCAACATTTAGCATTAGCTAGAAAAGTGTTCAAATGATCAACAAGTGCTTCCAGCAAAATTGGACCAAAGCTTAAAAAAGAAGCGATGACCGGAAATACGTTTGCAGGCTAACGAATGCGTTGGATCTGCGTTTAAAAGCGGTCCATGGAAATCGGTTTTCATTTGTGAATTTGGGATCTGCATTAAAATATTCATCACTCCTAACCATCAATAGTTTCTAAAACCGTTTTGAAATTCTTCATTTGCCAAAGAAATAGTTTGTCGGAAGGAAAGGCATCTTTACGACTTGAGCATCGATCTTCTTCTTGTACACTTCCAACTGAAGACTTGTTCCTGGTTTGGAGAATTCCGTTGGCACATACGCCATCGCAATGTTCTGTTTGAGGCTTGGTGATGGACCTCCGCTTGTCACTTGACCTTGAAATAAAGAAAGTAAAGAACGGCAGGGTTGGTACCCTTTTTTTGAACATAAAATTCAAGGACTTTAAAGTACATATTTCCCATTTATCAAGGACTCCATTCAGGGCAAAAAAGAGCCTCGAGTCTGTCTTTTTTAGTTCCTCCACAACATGAGTAATTTTATCGCGAAGGTCTTTCTGTGTTTGCTTTTTTTCCTTTGGAGTTCTACTTGAACTAGGATACATTGAAATTCAAGGACTTCCCAGCAGCGACTGCAATTTCAAGGACTTTCAAGGTGCGTGCGAACCCTGGAACGGGGAAGCTTTCATTTTACTGGGTAGCCTGAGCAGGGATTGCAAATTTTATTGATGAGTGGAGTCACTGTGACTTCCGCTTCACAAATTTTGGAGTCATTTTGGAAAATTTGGAGCCAAGTATCACAACGAAAAAAGCCATTTTCAGACTTTACAGCACGTGGTCCTGGCATGAATAACTATCGTGATGGATAAACGGTGTAGCTGTGGGGGTCCACTGACCTAGAAAGCTCAAATCCATGATGGCGGTTCTCGAGTAAACTTTGATCGTAATTTACCCTCTTCCTGTTTTGTCGTGCAGTATCATTCTTTAAGGTTTGCAACGTTTACAATTAACGTAAATTGCATTTGTTGCGAAAAAGGTAGGGACAAAACTGTGTGTGTTACCGAAAATTTCTGGAGTCGAAGTGGCTCCCTGTTTGTAACCGAAAATTTCTGAAGTCAAAGTGACTCCCTCCGTAACCTCTGTGGAGTCATCTGAACAATTTTGGCGTAAAATACGCCAAATTTGGCGTATTTGCGAACCCTGCCTGAGGAACCACGAGCCGACATTTTGGGACGCTACCACCGGTTTCCCCGCGAAACAACGCCTGAGGACCGAGTGCAGGAATTCCACACTGATAACGCGTCACCAGCAACCAAGCCTTGTTATCTGTAATATGTAACAAAGTAACTAACACACCGAACAAACTCATACATATCGCTAGTCTGAAAGACTTACCAACTTTATTGCCACCTTGATCCAGAATGGGCGCGCCACCTTCAAAGAAACATAATACTTGATTGTAAGAAAAGGTTTTGTCACCACAGTCGATAACTTCAGTACGAGAGCGTGATCAATCTTTTGCCAAGATTCACTCCTGACGAAGGTTTAGCACTTAAAAAATAAGCTTTTGAATCGCTGTGGGGCGGAATATCGAGTTTACTAACTGAGTTTATTAACCAAATTCTTGTTGATTACTCCTGTCTCTAACTGACGCTGCACTTAAGTTTCTCTGTTTTGAAACAACTAAGTCGTCATGTCAATAGCGCGAGACAAAAAAAAAAAAAAATTAATTTAATATTGAGTCCTTCACACGATTCGAACCTATGATCGGTAAAACACAGCAAAGGACTCATGCACACCGAACAGGCTCCTTTTTAGGGTGGTAGATGCCAAGCGTCACGATACGCCCTCTTTACCTCGAGCTGGAGGTCCCTTTGATACCAATCCAACTCTTTTCCTTTTAGCTTTCTCTTTAATCTGTCTGAGGATAATTTCTGCTCCTGGAAAATCAGCTTGGGCGCGGCGTCTTTTCCCTTGAAGTAAAAAAATAAAAATAAATGATAATAAATAAATAAATGATAATAAATAAATAGTAAATAATTAAATAAATTATAAATAAATAAATAATAAATAATACCAAAACCATTAATCAATCAACAACAACAACAGAACGAATGACTTTCGTTTATTTCTTTCCCTTAATCATAACTAAAGCAAACTTCTCTAATCTGATTGGCTATCAGCGGCCCAGCTCTGAATTTAATACAACAGTGATAACAGGACAGTAGGAGTTTTGCCTGAGTACTGTAACAGGAAACTAAAACCCTTTGATGATTTTGTGTGTTACAAGGAACGAAGGCTTAAATGACCACAAATTTTAGTTAAGTTGTGATCAGTTGGTAACAGAAGTTCATGTTGACCAATTTGGTCTGTAATTTATCATACCCGTGATTAAACAAATCGTTTGTAAATCACTCACATGATTACAGACCTAATTGGACTTCACTTGATTAGTTCTATTGCCATTATCTATAGGCTTGTCCTTACAGGCTTCATTGCATACCTATCGTCCACACAAGCACTGCCTCAACAGGGGTGGTGTTTTCATCAATGTCGTTACCATAGAGACAAAGCCCAGCCTCAAGTCGCAGACTGTCTCTTGGCCCCAGTCCCGCTGGTTTTACTTCAGCCTCTTTACTTTCTAGGAATGCTTTTGCCAAATCAACAGCTCTGTGCTGGTCCACTGAAAGCTGTTCATGAAAACAACACCACATTCTTATTAGAGCCTTTCACCTTAGACTGCTCACAGCTGTTCTTTGCGTTGTCACACAACACTCTTTTTCCTCTTATGGGGAGGAGCATTGTGTGACGACACAAAGAATGGCTGTGGAGCAGTCTACTTTCACCTTGAATTGAATGTTTGTTTCTCCTTTCCAAACCAAAAAATGTTACTCTCTTGGAAAGTTTCTGTTTAGAATTTCACCCTGTTCCTGGTTTTATGAATGCATAATATTTTGCATGTTAGTAAATGACAAAGGGAAAATTCCTTAGAGACCCCACAAAGTCTAAAATGGGAAAACAAAACTGATGGAAAAGTCTATTAACCCCCTCCGGGTCGATCTGTATATAATTTTTCAGATTCATAATTGTTTTATTATTCATTCAAATAATTTATTCATACTTTAAAACATGAACACTCCAATCCATGAAAGGTTCCCGTTTTCATTTGTCTGTTTCTCAGCAAATTCAGTCTTGACTAGTACATATTGTTTTGAAGTTCTCCTATTTCTTCTTTGTAAAATTAATGTGGGAAATTTTACACCATTTTCTCCAGCTCTCCCAAAACAACTGACTGAGCTAACGCAACCTCGTCCTGGGGGCTTCTCAGTTGCTTTCCTTTTTGTGGTGATAGCCTGTATTATTGACATCACTTTAATTACTGGATATCCCAAATGTCTCCCAAATTTGATTAACACTAGATGGTTATGAAGAAATCTTCTGTGGGAGTATAAACATGCCTAGCACTTGTGGCGACGTTGAGTGAGGGCATGGTGACTGAGTGTTATTATGTCAAACGTTGGGATATGAGGGTCTGGGTACTACCCAAATTGTTACTTAGAAGTTGCTAATAAATTCTATTATTTTCTTTACCACGAAGTAGATGTCTTAGGACCTATACTCGAAAGAGACTCCTGTTGTTTAATTCTTGTAAGTAACCACCTCCCAAAATTGACCACTAAATTAAATCATCTCACTTGGGTGGCCGATTACAGGAGGTTCAACAGTTATTTAAAAAAGTAATAAGAAGAAATAATAATAATAATAATAATAATAATAATAATTTACATTTGATAATTATTATAATGATATTGTAGGTACATGAACAGGAACATATTAATTTACCTCAAAGCCATCTTCCCCAGTGTAACCACAACGTGTAACTCGCACATCCTTGATTCCAAAGACATCCATTACACCAGTGTGCATGAAAAACATTTTACTAAGATCTCCTGTAACACCACTCTGAAGAATGGCGACAGCTTTGGGACCTGGAAACCAATTCATGGTAAAGTTGGGTTGATTCTGATGCTACTACTCTATTAGTCTTTGTTTTCAAGTTTGTTAGACCGCTTTAAAGGCCTGTTTAGACAGCCATGAATCTGTGCACAATTTTTGATGCAAAGAAGGAGGGATCAAAATTTGCATGCGCCTACCAGAGGCAATTTCAGGGCAATTTGAGGCAACAAAATCCCTGTTACATTGACCATGCTAAAACTTACATGACCGTCATTTATTAATCAGACATCAACTTTCTGCTTCAAGAGTGTGTGTACAGTGTATGTATCTTGACATTAAATGGTGTTAAGACTGGGAAATGCATCCAATTAAATTACTTAATAAAATGTGAAATTGTGTACATTATTTGTTCTCCCTTACTACCACACTTGAATATTTGAAGTTAAACTTTCTCTACCTTGTAGAGCTATAAGAGCTTTATCCTCAATAATTTCCAATGCAACATCTAATTCTCCACTGACGGCATCCAGTCGCTCCTAACAATCACAATGATAAGATAAAACAGATTATGTAAAGTCCATTACGGTGCAACTTTGAAGAGGTCTTCAAATCCAAACACTGAGAGTGGTCTTGGTGTTGGGTGGTACTCTCAAAAACCCTGTGGGAATGTGTAACTGCAAGGGGTACATTGTACATACTACTGAAGGGTTTTAGTCTAGATTGGGGTACTATTATGGGAAATTGCTCAATTGTATGCACATGTACATGTACCCTATGAGGACTTTTTTTGAAGTTGGGTAGCCTGTTACATCCATCTCCACTTCTCCTGGAGCTCCCCAACCTCTTGGGGTAGGAGACAAAGGAAATTGAGAATCAACCTAGGTTAAAAAATTCTTATCTACCTAAATTATTATAATAATTATTATTAATTATTAAATTTTTAATTATTTATTAATTAATATTTATTATAGATTTATATATAACTTATCAACATTTTACTATGTGTATTAATTATTTATTGATCATTAGTTATTAATTATTATCATTAATTATTAAATCATTAATCATTGTAGCTAGATGATGATGATGATGATTATTACCTGAATGTGATTTTGATCTGTAACATACACAGGGGTGGGTAGCCCTGAGAGCTTGCTCAGAGCTCCATTCCAAGTCCAAGAAGCACAAAACCCCGAACCCTTCCTTTACCCCCCCCCCCCCCCCCTCCAAGAAAAAAATCATAGAGGGTCCCCTAAGAGGTTCTCCACTCATTTGCCTGGGGGCATCAGAATTTCACTTAAACTACATGTAGATGCAGCACTGACAAAGCCAGATGGTCAGATGATATCCAGGGAATGGTATGCAAAAGACAGAGAGAGAGTTTGATGTCTCTGCTTGTGTGCGCCACAGTCTTAATTATATAGAAAATCATCCCGTACCTGCATATGTTTAAGATCTTTATCAGCACATCCTGCATTAGACACAACATATAAATACTCTGGTGTCTTGTTAATTATTAAGTCATCAATAATTCCACCACTTTCTGTAGTAAACAGAGACAGTGTTCCTGTGTTTTCTGCAAGTCCTTGAATATCAGCCACCACTAAGCTTTCTAAAAATTTAATCCTGTCATCTCCATGCACCTTGAATTGCAACATGTGTGAAACATCAAAAAGAGATGCTTGTTGTCGAGTGTGCAGATGGGAAGATAACACACCATCTTTATATTGCACAGGCATAGACCAGCCACAGAAAGGAACCATCTTGCCTCCCAGCTCTAAGTGGAAATCATATAATGGTGTCTTTTTCAGATTGTCCTGATAAGAAAAAGCAACAATGTAAAGAAGAGAGCAGAGAAATTCCATGCGGATGATCCATCACCACTCAGATCTGGGTGGTGTCTCTGACTGGCCAAATTTTCAACCAATTTGAAGCACTATCCTGTTCGATTATAGGTAGTGACATGTCATCAAGAGAAATTATAATTTCTGTGTTTGTTCTTGGACTTCATTTCGCGCGGAAGCCAGCAGTGGCATCGCAAAATACCGGCTGTTTTCTCAGGGTAAGGTCATTTTGCATAAAACCTAACTTTGCATGCGTGACACAACAAACGTCACGTCAGGTCACGCCGCTAAAAAAGATGACCAGAAGTCGCCTTCAAAACAAACTTAATGGCATGTTTCTACAGTTAGGAGCACTAAGGTTGGCTAATCTAAAGCTCCACAATTTTTTGAAATTGTTCTCACGAATAAATTGAAAAATCGCGCGCATAGGAAAGATAGGCGAAAATGCCTTCAGTTGACTCAGTCTCTTCGAATGGGACCAAGTCCTGATCCTACACAATGCCGTTTAAATTTAAGATATAAGTTACCAGCCGCGAGATGCGCTGCTCCTATTTTTTACTTTTTTTGATGCTTTAAACTTCATTGAGCCTACCTTCGCGTCTGTAGCAAAACCACGAGGTGTCAAGACTTTGCCAACCACACATGCAAAAGGAAGTTGACCATCTCTTCTACAAGATGCGCGATATACTTCTCTTGAAAATACCCTCAATAAAGCAGTCATGGTTGCAGATTCTTGAAATATAAACTGGGAGGAAGAAAAAATATCGTGTTGGAAAATTACGAAAGTCCCTCGAATCAAAAGCGACCGCGAGAAGATTAGGTCAGCAGCTTAAGTTTTGGGCATGCGCTGTAAAAATAATTCGAGAGTCCGAAATGGACGCCATTTTAAAGAATTCAAAGCGGAAATCAGAAATAATTTGAAATTTGCCATTTTGTAGAAGCACGATGCTCTATTTAGAAGATTACGTTGAGTGTAAGATTCTTTTAGTTCATATATAGGATGATTTATTTTTAGTATACTCCTTTTAGTCTAACTTACGCTTTGAATTTAGTTGTTAAACTGTCAATGATTTATTGAAATTCAATTAAGCTAATATTGTAAATTTCAGAGGTAATATTGAGACATAAATATATATAATCTTAGTCGTTGCTTCTTTTTCTCATATTACGTTCGATTTTGTGGCAAATTGAGCAAGTCTTACCCCCTGAAAACTTAAAGTTGTTGGCATGGTGATCTTGAAAGCGCGCGGGAAATCAAAAATGTAAACAAGGTCATGTAAGTGACATGCGCAAATTTATCGAGCAGCCCATTATAGTTACAGGTGAAAGCAAAGCCAAGGTTGACCTTGTTTTGATACAGTCATTCCTCCTTTATTAAGTATTTGATTTTGTTTTTATGCTATCTAGAATATTTTTTAGACACAATTTCCATAAGAAAAGGAAAGAGGTTTGTATCAAAACACGGTCAACCTTAACCTCACTCACATTCAATCAAAGGCTAGGACACTTGTTCTAATAATACAATTAGTTCTTACCAATCCATTAAAATCAAGAAATTTTAAATTAATTTTCACTTCTTACTTTTTTAGTGATTGAACAGCTCCCTGTTGAGCTGAGGGACAGATTTACGGATATGAGAGAGATGGATCTTCAAGTTCAAAGTAAATTATTTTAATATCTTTATTTATTAGAAAACCTTTAAAAATGCTAATCTCAATGTAAAATGGTAGCTTGAATTACGTGCATAAAATGTCAAATATTAAATTTATCGTCTTTAGCGATATTATTTTGTTTGCTGCAAAATGTAACCCAAAATAGTTGACTGTTCATTGACTGTTGATACAGGTAATTTTGTTGCAATGATAGAGTCAGGCAGGGAAATGCTTTCAACAATAGTTTTAACCATGAAAGAGCAGTAGCTTGTGAATGCAGCCCTCTTTCCTCACTCCCCGCTACTAGGGATGTTTTACAGGACAGATTTTGTGCCTCAGTGACAGAAATTCCATATAGATGATAATGTGAAATCTGGTCAGGAGCAGTGAGGTGCAAGGAGGGACAGATTTATTTGCAGGCTAGGGAGAGTGCATGTAGTAGCTAGTGCTCACTATACAAGAGTTTGCTAGCTTCATTGGCAACTTCTGTTTCTTTGACATGGTGTGAGGATGCTTATATCACCACTTACAGTAATAAATATACATTGATCAGGAACCAATATTGCTGAAGTTTATATCATAAAGTTTTTTGCTTTCCAGATAGGATAGATGATCTTGACATTAGAGTGAAACAGTTTTTCATGAATTGCCGCAAAGCCAAGCCAGAGTGGAAGGAACAACAATACAAACAAATTAGAGACGTAAGTTGCTGCTGCTGCTGTCGTTGTTGTTGTTGTTCTCAGTAGCTTAAAATCAAGACAACTCAAAACCCAAGTACAGTAATTTTTTTTAAGCTTTTATGTAACAGACTATATGTACATGCAAATCAGGGCTCGAAATTGTGACTCACTGTTCGCCAATGCGACCAAAAATTGAGCACTGGTGACTAAATTTTCAGAACTGGTCGCCAGCTGGCGACTCGCGTTTTGTCCGATGACTAAAGAAAACCATGACACAACTTTTGTTTTTTAATCTTTATATTAGGAAATCAGATATGGTATCTAGTATACAACTAACCTTTCCGTCCCCAGTAAAATAATGTCTGAATATTACAAGATGATCGAAAATTGAATGTATTTCGACACCTCAATACTCGTTCACGGCGCACCATATTGTTTCAGCGGCTTCTTCCGAAACTGGGAGTGCAGGCGCACTTCAACACCATGTGCTTTTCATTTGCCTCGAAAATGGCGGCAGATACAGGGCGGTTAATAAATGGATATAACTATCACCACAAGAAAAAGTACCTGAGTGAATAGTTCTTAACAACGTTTCTTTATACTTAAGGTAAGGAGATAGCAATTCAATTCAAGCGACGCTTGCCTAACTCCCGCAATATTTTAGGTTTTATTTTCCTAAAACATTCTGTCTAAAATGAAATGAAGACCTAAAAACTGCACTAAGCCCATTTTTGTTTCCTCCTGGTCGGAGACTGGTACGAACAATGTGGTTCTGTAGAGGCCTGGGCCAAGCATGGCGTTGTTTGCCGGCAGCGAAAGGCGTTGAGGAAAGCAAGTTGAAAATCAAGAACGGCATTTTGTAGAAGTAGCAAAGGGCAAATATGCAAGGACCCATGTTGTCTCAGAATGAAAACCACGGGCTTAAAACGTTTTATGCTTCGCTTCATTTAAAATGACTATGGAGAAAAACCATCACCATCTAACCAGAGACATATCACCTGAGAACAACGGTAGCTTTATAACTGTTACTCGTGTTGTTTCTAATTGTTTTGGCTCTTCACTTGTGACTTTTCTTGAATGCAAAGTAACGTATAAAATCGTGTTCTTGTGTAAGTTATATATAAAATAAGCTGGCGACCACAATATTTTTCCGTTAGTTGCCAGCTGGCTCCCGAACGAAAAAGTTAATTTCGAGCCCTGCAAATGCCAACAATAACTATGTTTTATTCTAAAGTTGGAGTGTTTTCACCAGCTTTTTGTTTACTGAACCCTTTAAGCACTGATGGTGATCAACATCAATGTTCTCCTTGCATTTTCAATGCTTTGTCTAAAAGAGAGGTTACATTTAAACAAGAATTAAGAACTGATCACACAAGATCTGATTAAGTTTTTAAGTAGAATGCCAGCCAGGACATAAAAGTAGACAGCTGTGAATGCTGTAGCAGGGTGCAAAGAAAGTCATTTTACAGCTTGCCATTCAGGGAAGCTGAAGCTAACATTTACTAGCCCAAACGTCATTTCAACTAGCCCCCAAAATGTTTTCAAGAGCAGAAGTGATTTAACAGTTCTCCTGTAAGTTGAATTCCTCAAAATTTTTCGTAATAAATTCTCCTCACTACTTCTACAGGAAATGTAGGGGAAGTGGCAGTGGGGGTAGCAAATTGCAATTTCAATTTTACAAGGGATAACTCGACAGTACAGTTATTGAATAATTCATATATGTACAATGTACTACATGTATGATGGACTCTGCCAACCTTTCCTTGCAGGAGTATCAAAAGGCTATTGAGGATGCTGATGAAAAAGTTAGCATAGCCACACAGGTTTATGATTTGGTAAGTTTGACTTTGTAAATGAATTAAAATGTTAGAAATGATAAGCCAAGGTGCCAATTTTCATGTTCATAAAGGTATCATAATTGTACAATAAATTGCTATTACTGTGTAACCTTGAAAGACCAGGCTAACTTTCACACTAAAACAATAACATGTTTATCTTCACTTGTGTTAAGATCTCTATTGCTATGGCTACATAACAAATCATTGCTTTTGCAGCCAAAAAAAAAGAATGTCATAGTGAAATGGTTTGGTATTTTATTGGTGTTTATATGATAAAAAATAGATTACTTTTGTATTACATGGCTGCTTAGAGATAAAGGAAATTGAAAAATTGTATTGGAAAATATCTCACTCATTCGCTGGGCTCAATCATGAAATATTTTTTGAGAGTCTCAAAGAGAATTCCGGTTTCTTTGCACAGCAATGTACAGTTGTAATATCCTCCATACGATTAGCTACTGTACCTTGATACAACTTCGTAAATACATTATGTTTTCAACTCTTTAGGTGGACAGACATTTGAGAAAACTAGATCAAGAACTGGCAAAGTTTAAAATGGAACTGGAGGCTGATAATGCTGGAATAACTGAAATCTTGGAACAAAGTAAGTCATGGTGTACGAGAAGCCGAACTACCAGAACATCTTATTACATTACTACCTCCTCAATCTCCCAAAATTCTTCAGGTCCATGTCGTTTCAAAAGCTATGATCTCAACTGGAGCAGTGTAACTAAAAGTGTCATTATTTTTGTACATTTGACTTGTAGACTGTGTTATTGTAAGATTATAAAGGGTACATAAGCCTTTAATACATCATAATGTTATTATAGGGACTTTAACTTCAAATGAAAGCTCTTTGGGAGAGCTTTTGTATTACACTATCATTTACCATGGATTTCTAAACAACAAAATTTGACTCTTTTGTGTCATTTATTCTCTTTGGTCTTTTTTCAGAATTAAAGGGTTAAATACATTTGCCTTACTTTCTACAGGATCCTTAAGACTGGATGAACCTGTGAATCCCCCTTCACCTGCGAGAAACAATCACATACATGGATCATTACAGTTAGGCCAAAGTAAGTTTGTCTTGACTTTGTTTGGCAACTGAAATGTCACAGAAAAGAGTTTTAAAAAAATACTGACATTTATCAATATATTTGCCTTATCCCAGGGCTGTCAATAAGGGTAGGTACCCGGCCAAAATCGCCGGCTAGTTAGCCATCCTTAGCTGGCTGCTTTAATCTTCTTCTACCATAACTGCTAACAAGAAATAAGTACGATCAAATAATGATGATGAACGACATTGAAGGCATATTTAAACAGGTTTAGATCTGTGAAACATCCAAACTGTGCCATGTCGTGAAATGCCTGGGATATTTTGACGGCATTGTTCCCAGTCTTGTGTGTACTCTGACGAAGCAACATTGTGTCCATAGTGGTAAAATACCTCGTGAAAGCCCCTGCAAATGGGGTTTCTGAGACCCTAAATTCCAAAATGTCCCAAGATGTCTCGGCCCTCAAGAACTTGTGCCTTTGGTGTGAGTTCCAAAGCGGCCTGCTATTCATTATCAGCCTGCAACTTAAAAACATTTTGACAGCCCTGTTACCCCAAGGCCCATGCCTCTGAAACAACCATAGCTCAGCATGCAAAGGACGTTGTGTCCAATAGCCCTGGATTTTGCTATGGGGCTAGTGGATTCTGCCTTAACTTGCCGGATGGGGAAACTGTAATCAATCCTGCTTGTTGAAATTTTTTGTGGGCTAGAACACACAAGCTACAGCTTGCCAAAAGGAAAAGCTGTGCAGTGGCTTTCTTTGCACCCTGTAGCAGCTGGAGCAGATCCAAGTCCCTCGTTCCCCTTGTGGCATCACCATGTTCAAGGACAACTTTGTCATGGAACTTGTGCAGGGGAAAGAAATCCTTTAAACCACGCCAGAATGAGTGTGATTCAGTTAAGGAGGCCGGAGAAAAAGGCTAAAAACATGTAAAGTCGTCCGAAAACTTCCCATAAATCTTGGTCTACGACCCTCCTGCACTTCCTCCTATCCAATCCTATGATATTCAAAGCTTTCTCAAAAAATTTTCCCACCAAAACGAAGCCTTTTAAATTCCCAGAAAGGAAAGGAAAAAAACGGGGAGGTGGGGTCAAGAAAAGCAAAAGGGGAGGGTAGAAAAGAAAGCAAAAGGTACAAGTCAAGACTGTTGTGTCACTTTTAAACTTCAAAACTATCTCAAAATTTTGCTTTTGATTTTGTGTAAAACATGTATTGATCATTGCATTGTCATTCTCAAACAAGCCCACAATAGTATGTTATCGTCTATCTCTGATTTATTTCAGAGAGAAAACTTGATGGAATGTCTGGCGATCTGGTGAATGGTGATCACCTCTCCATTCCTGGGATACGAGACTACTCATATGGTTCATTTGGGGCTTACAATCAAATGTCGCCATCACCGAAGTCAGTCATACCGCAATCACCATCCCCTGCTGGAATGTCTTATACAGTGGGTAAGTTGCAGTTCAGTTTACTTTAACCCTTTAAGCCCCAAGATCCACATACAGATTCTCCAGACTGATCTCCATACATTTCTCTTAGGAATAGTTGAGAAAATTTGGTTTAAGATCAAAGCATTATTTTTCCCTGTGGTAATCAATTTAGTAATTCTCATAACCTTTACTCTTAATGATCTGCTGATGTTGTTTGGAGAAAATTGATGTTCCAAGGTCACTTTTGGGACCTAAAGGGTTAAGTAATTGGTCTCCCTGCTTGATTTATGATGACTTTTTAACACACAGCTTAAACAGTTGGAAATTCCTTGTATTCTGACATCAGCACTAAATTCCTATTTCGTTTTTAAATCAACATTAAATTTTGACACTTTTTTTCTTAGGATTTTTAGTTTTGGGTAAGATTATTTCACGCACAAGTTAAAAATATAGCACCATGTCAGAATAGTTTTTCTTTCATTTTCTTGAGAAAGAATCTGTTTGCTGCTAAGATACAATTTCGAACCCAGGCCCAATAGCTGTGTGCTTCCCGCTGTTTTGCGCCATTTGTTTTTTTAAACGGCTGATTCGCTTAGAGCAGATCTTAATTTCCATCTTGATTTCCTTGATATAGCAGGCTCTTTTGCATGTATTGGTTTATCAATAAACAGATGCTCACACTCTAACATCCAGTACGATGAGGGAAAACCAGATTGTTCTGGGTCCCCAAGGGATTTAACAAATTACCGGAAATACGTGTCGAATTTCCCTTCAACTTGATTGGCAAATCGACAATGGCATTTTAAACAGGCCAATCATGGCACGTAGTCAAATCTGAGTGCTCAGATGGGGACACAGAATAAGGATTTCGGCCCTGTTACGCAGATGTACTTAACCAGAAGTTAAGTTCTGTCTGTGGCGCAGGCTACGCAGCCAACACCTGCTGTAGAAAAAGCTTCTCTCATTCTACTCCCAGTTTGATGTATAGAGCGGTTTTCATTTGAGTATCGTAAAACCAAAACCAAAGTAATTACTCTAGCCAATCACAAAGGACACAGACAATACAGTGAACCAATTAAAAATCGAAGTAATTACATGTAGCTGACGCAAAGCGCGGGAAAATGCATGCGAGCGTGACACAATTGGTTTTGGTTTTCCTTCTGATTGGATAAAAAAGTGGCGCGAATCTTTTAAGCCAATCACGTAGCGTAGTAAACGCAAAACCAATCACCTTTCGACACTCAAATGAAAACCGCTCTAATGATGAATGTTTGCCTCGTTTATAGGTGAAGTTGGCGCCGGGTCAACTGCAGTGGCCGTAGCTGCAGCACAGGCAGCGATAGCTACTCTACCAATGCAGCCTGGAAGGAGAGGCAGTGGAACCTTGAAGGCACCATATGCCGTGGCACTGGGTGAGGACAACATTAGATCTTGTCTTTTACCTAAACTGTGTGCTTAACATAATGGGATGCAGTTTTTGGAAAGCAAAACTCCTTTTCTGTTGAATGCCTTTAACAGGTTATTTAAGAGGGTACTCAAGCACATTGGTTCTTGTCACAAAAAAGATTCTTTTGTTTCCCTCGTGACATATTTGAATAACAAAAACAAGGTTTGGTACACATTGATGTTTGTTATACCCTGTAAGCAAGCGCTTCATTTTGAGAGCCTAGCGAAGCCAGCCGCGAGAGAACGTGGGAGCGAGTGGCAAAGCAGTGAGGCGAGAGGGACTCCTCTTTTCCGCGCCTTTGCGTCTCCGTTCGCGTTCCGCTTGCTTTCGCGTTTCCACTTTTCTCACTTAACCCTAACATTACCCTAACTCGAACTCTAACCCCTCCCCTCCTTCCCCCAAATGAGTAAAGTATCCTTGTTACGTTCCTGTGAAAGTTGTTACGTTGAAAACAGCTGTCGCTCGCATTAGTTGCCATCAGTGAGACCACTGTTAATATAATTCAATTCTACTTCTTTTTTTTTTTTTGCTTTTGAAACTGTAACATTAGAGACCTTTAGATTCAAGGACGAGGACGACAACAAGTGCGAGATTTGACTTCAAGTTTTTTCGCTTATTCTCAAAATATAGACTCCCTCTGACTCTCGCAAGCGTCATTTCACCATTTTCCACTAGAAAAGTTAGCACTGTTACCTTTAGTGAAGGAGGTTACATCCTCTCCTGATCGCAAAATGATAAAACTTCTAACATTTGATAACTTTTTTCCGCCACTTCGACATTCTCGCCAAAACTCGTAGTAGACTGACGACGGCTACCACGTTTTCCCGCCAAAATGACGCTGGCTCACGCGCGTACACTACTTAGCACTGAGAAAATCTCGTACTCGTCTTAGAATCTAAAGGTCTCCAATGCTTAGTGTAACAGTACATAAATACATAGTGTATGCTAATTAATCCATTAAATTTCCCATGACGATAGGGAGTTCAATAGGCAACTTAGGCAATCAATCAAGTGGATTAAATGGCCTTCCAGCAAGTAGTAATTTGGGAATGCCTTACGACTCACAGTCATCCAGTGTGAGCTCAGTCAGCATCCCAGTAACACCTAGTGATGTCCGTGCTTCTGTTAATGTGGCACCAACGTCAACGAAACAAAAAAAGAAGTGAGTACATTTTATTGTTATGCTGAGTGCACATTTTAAGTGGGGTCGGGGGAGTACCTGTAACTTACATTTGAAAGGGGTGATTCCTGGTCGAATTGGATTTTGGACATGTTGGTTTTTGAGGAGAGGGGAAAACCGGAGTACCCGGAGAAAAACCTCTCGGGGCAAAGGAGAAAACCAACAACAAACTCAAACCACATATGGCGTCGACGCCGGGATTTGAATCCGGGCCACATCGGTGGGAGGGGAGCGCTCTCACCACTTCGCCACTCTTGCTCCCCTTACGTCATTGTAGTTTTTTCACCACAAAAGTTAGTACACTTATTTCTATTGAAGGAGGTTAACCCCTTTCCTGATTGCAATATTATAAAATTTCTGACATTTAATAACTTGTTTTCGCCACTATGACATTCTCGCTAAGCATGTAGTAGAGTGACGCACGGTGAGTATCACGTTTTCCCACCAAAGTGACGCTGGTTCTCGCACGCGCGCTTATTGGTATTGGGAAAATCTCGTTTCCGTGGTCTTCCTCGTCTTAGAATTTAATGCTCTCTACTACTGGGCTAGGCTCAGTCTCCAGCCTTGGGTGTCTCGATGCGCCCTCGGTACTCCCCACCCGACTACTGGCTATTTACAACCTAAATAAGACGAAAAACATCACCACCTGTTTCTCTTGGAGGTCCCCGCCTTAAAAAATTATCTCTTACTGAGGCCACACATTTCACTCCTTTTTTTTTCTTCCTTGTTGCAGAAGTAAGAGCGCCGCACAGCAGGTGACAGCAGTAGCGTCAGCTCAGGTCGCTGAACAGGAAGCTGCAGTAGCTGCTGCTGCCGTGCCTGACTGGGTCTACGATCCAAACGAACCGCGGTATTGCCTTTGCAATCAGGTCAGTCAAATGACAGCAGACTTGTTTATTCCTAACCTGCCTCGGAGACGTAATATAACCCCAGCATGGCTCGCACAGGCCTTGAAAAAGTCATTGAAAAAGCATCATGTCCTTGAAAAGTCTTCGAAAATTGAAAAATTGTGGGATATCCTTGACAATTCCTTGAAAGCTCCTTTAATAAAAATAACCTTCGTTAAAAAAAAATGTTTTGCGCAAAGGAATGACTGAAAGGACAGCAACACACAATTTTGTTTGGTGATCATGAAGGTGTTTTCTTATGATTTCGGTGTTCCCGGCATAGTTCATTTTCCGTTATTTGAAGTAGCCTAGGAACCGTACCTTAATGAAGGCAGGTATTGCAATAAGCGAACCCCCCTCCATCTACGCATTCTAAAGGTCTTTGCTTGATGTTATTGGGGAAAAGAAGTCGTGAAAAAAGGATTTTAGTCCTTGAAAATTCCTTGATTTTTTCCCAAAAAATTATGTATGAACCATGCCCGGAAACTAACAGCTGAGAAGCAGCGCCGAGATCCTTGTTCTCCTTGCCAGATTTAGCGGTGGGGCCACCCTTTTTTCTGTGATATTTTCTTTTAATTTTTAAAGAATTCTCAGTGACATAAAACGCATCTATATTGCTTGCAAGTGTCCCGGCAACCCCTCTCTGAATAGTTTGGTTCCGCCACTGGTTCTGGACCTTTAACGAACTCAACGAATTTCCTTTCAACCTGATTGGCCAATCGAACAATGGCTTTTTGACAGGCCAATCATGGCGCTTGCTCAAATCCTGGTACACAGTTGGTTACGCAGAACAAGGAGTTCGGCGCTGGTACGCATGCGAACTTAACCAGAGCTTTAATTTCGTCTTTTGCATTAACCTGAGAAAACAGCCGACATTTGAGTCCTCGAGACGCCACGACTGGTTACCCACGAAATGACGTCTGAGAAACGCAGCGTGCAAAGAAAGTAGTGTCCGATGGTCCAGGGCTAGTGGATTTTGCCATCGGGGCTAGTGATTTTTGTTCTTAACTTGCCCGACGGGCAAGTATTGTTTTTTGGGAAAATTCAAATTAAAGAAGGATTGTTATCAATCCTGCTAATCAAAAAGGGTTTGGGGGCTAGTTGAAATGACTTGTGGGCTAGTACATGCTAGCTACAACTTGCCCGAATGACAGGTGGTAAAACTGACTTTCTTTGCACCCTTCAAACGGCTGCAGAAATTCTACACTGATGACGTGTCACTACCCAGATCAGGGCAGTGACACGTCATCAGTATGGAAATTCTGCGCTCGTTCCTCAGACCTCATTTCGCGTGGAGGCCAGTGGTAGCGTCTCGAAGACTCGAAATGTCCACTTTTTTCTCATGCTATGGTGGAGCAGGCTAGTTCATTCCAGAATGTTTACACTGGTTCTTTTGGTGAAAGTCCTGGTAAAACATAGTGGAATATTTTAAACGAATTTAAAAGCGTTATCCTTTCTTTTCCTTCCGTTTCGGTGGTTTATTTCTCTTTATACACTTTCCTTGCGACTCTTAACCCATAACCTGTATTTTTAACATTTATTTCTTTTCGGTAGGTTTCATACGGCGAAATGGTCGGATGTGATAATCCAGAAGTAAGTACTGGACAGGATTACTGTCGTGTAATTCAGTCACTATGAGATCTTGAATATTTCACTTAGAAATTTAGTGATAATAGTAAGACTATGACTAAGACTACAGACGATTGTTGCTTCTGCAAATATCTACCTGTCGTTACCGGTTCAGCGAAACACATCTGTACCTTCGTATATGGTCCAGCCTCTTACCCTTTGTCAGGAGAGGTACCCCTTTCGTATACTTTTTATTTAACAATTAGTCATCGAGACGAAGTCGAGGTGACTATTCGTCGATATTCACGTTGCCTGAGGCGACTAATTGTTTTAGTCTGATTACATTGATTGTTTTATACCTTCAATGTTATAATCACCGCGCGGTACCCCTTTGACGTACCTGTTTTAGAGCTTGGCATCCCTTTTACGTCTTTAACGTATTGATAGAGAGATTAAGATTCACGTTTACGCAAAACTGCAGACGTGAATTTGTACCACGTGACCAAATTTTCTCCTTATTTTCCGTTTACTCTTTATTACTTCTACACAAAAATAAGTAGTTTTATGCCAGTTTTAACCATAGGAATCGTTCGGGACTGTTCTTATCTGCTTATTTTCTATTCTGAGAAATTCTCAACTTGAGACTGACGTTTGCCGTTTGCGGTACTTGAGAATCTCTCTGATAAATCACAAAACCAGGAAATTTTGTCGACTTTTTCAATGCCATATGCTTGTGTTAGCTCTTTTCGGCCTTTTTTCGGACAGATTTCCCTCCCTTTTCATAAACTTCAACTGGTGAAATCCCCACCCTTGGGTGGAGCCTCCCTGTGTGGGCCAGTAAAGGGAGTACGTCCCCTCCCCCCTCCCGACGATTTGAAGGCTAGAACAGATTGAATTTTGGTCTCTATTTACTGATTCGTTCACACCTGTTTTGCCTTGTTTGCTTCCAGTGCCCGATCGAGTGGTTCCATTACGGATGTGTTGGACTTACAGACGCTCCAAAGGGAAAATGGTTCTGTCCTCAGTGTCAAAACCAGATGAAACAACAGAGAAGAGGAGGACGACATAAATGAGCCTTGTAGTGTTTTCCAGCGATGTGCAGTGAATGGGGGGAGCTGTGACCTACACACCCCCTCTGTCGTATGTTTGGCCAACTCTTAGGGTTACACGTACGCGACTTGTTGTGAGTCGCGTGACTGGTGTTGTGTGACCCTGCTTGGCGCCCTGGCTTTTGGACAATAGCGTGATGTTCCAAAACATTAAACTATGAGAGAGAACACATCATAAATTTTTATGGGTTTCGTCAGTTGAGGGGATTGTTTTGAGTTAAGGGTATTGTTTAGCTCAAAGGAACACTTTAATTTGACATATAAGAAAAAATCACACATGAGTAATCGTTCGTGAAACTTGAATTATGGGCTTATACACGATATGCATCTGGCGAATTTGTATGCTCTTGATAAACCCTCTAGGGCCCAACATAGTCTGAAATGTCATCCGTTTCTTCGCCCAACCCCCAAACAGATGGCAAGGGGAGAAACGGATGATATTTCAGACTAGGCCTAACAATGACAAATTTCCCTTTAATTATGTCTGCATCCTCCCTCGCAATCAACCCCATTATCCAGATATAAGATAAGATAAGAAGTATTTAATTAGTTATGTGAAGAATTCGTGATATGAATTCAGGGTGCAGTAATTATAAAAATCCCAGAATATTGAAGATGTGCAAAAGTTTTAGCATAGCTGAAATAGTAATGTCATGTCGAGCAAGACACTTTTTGGACCTTTTTCGCGTAGTTTACAAAGCTTTGAGTCCTACCCCATCTTTTCATTTTGGAAATAACTTTTCACCAGAGTCATCAAGATATATTTTTCGCATAATTTTTATGCATAGGCAAATTAAACTAATTTTGAATAGTTATACACCAGACCTCGCTTTGATAAATTTTGTTAATGGGCTTTTTCTTAATGGTAGTTTCGAAAACGAAGATTGAAGCACGAAGCACCCAAATCTCGAAAACGACGTTCTCCGATCTTAGTTTTCCAGTGCTTCGTTTTCGAAACTACCATTTCTTAATGCGTTGTAAAGCGCTCATAACAAATACATATATTCATACACTGCTCATATTTTTCCAACATTCATAGTGAGCCACAAAGAACCGTACCTCAATAAATGCGGATGATAAACCGATCTGTTCGTTGTTTAACTTTCTGTTGACGTTGTCATTGTTGTGTGTTTTGGTTGTGATGATTAAAAAATGTGTCTTCTGATGCCGCTCAACGTTCCCGGTTGAGATAAAAGCAAGCTCGACCCGAGGGTCTTCTCGTTTTCCGAAAACAAGAAGATCCTGGGAACGAGGTTAAAGACAAGTCTGGCTTTGCTGCCAGGCCAGCTGTCAATCCGATAATTTTCAACATGGCGTCGCTTTATTCGTGCGCTGCGAACATCGTGGATAAAGTTATCAAGAAACAGGGCACAGCAAAATCCTTGGCCATCAACAGTCCATTCCCTAGAAAGAAGAAACTTTATGCTCTAGTGTGTGAAACGTTGAAGTGTAAGTGTGATGTTATATAGTGATGGGGTGCAGGCAGATATATAAAATATCTCCCCCACCGCCGGATCCATAGCGCCAGACCACTGGGAAACACATGAGGTCTTGGAGTGTATGCTTGATTGAAAAGATGCTTGCCTCACAAACGAGATTAGTGTGAAATACGTTGTTTAGGCGTGAACTCCTCAGAACATCCAAATACTTTTACCATATTTCCCGTTGCTGTTGTTGTGAACAGTAAATTGTAAATAGAGTGATGAATGAATTTTTTTCCTCTGCATCAATGTCTCCCACATTATGGGCTTAATTTTAGAAAACCTCCATTAAATGGTTAACCTCTATGAAGTGGTGACCTGGCTAATTCCCGAGGGTGACCTGGCTTAATAGAGGTTTGACTGTATTTCATTCAAAAACACACTAATTGTCTTAATCTGAAAGGTGACAATTTTCATTTACTAATTTTTAATTCTCTAGATAAAGGAATTCTTGAAGAAATATTCAAAGAAACAAAGCTATTAAAACTTGAAAAAAAGGTGAGACTGCATGACCACCTAAAATGCAAAAATTTAGTGATTAGTTTATTTTAATATGGGATGCAATTGCCTACAAGAACTAAACCACAGGGAGTCTCCTCCTATAGCCTGTGAGTGCCAAACCAGGGGCATAGCCAGCCCATAGAGTGTAGGCCCGGCCCTACAATTTTTCTGGTTTTATCACTCTGCCACTTGTAAAATATTATGTGTTGTGTGGGTCAGCTAAAAAAAAAAAATGAGCTTAACTTTTTTCCCCCTGGTCCAAAATCAGCAACATTTACCTTGTTCAAATGAAAAAATCATGTATCAGCATGTATTTACAGCAGTATGGAAAGCTATACCTCTTTTGGAACAGGGTTCATATAGGTCATGGAAAACCTGGAAAGTGTTGAATTTAAGCATTTCATTTTCCAGGCCTGGAAAGTCATGGAATTTAATTGTTGGTCTTGGAAGGTCGTGGAAAATTAAAGTTTTGTTTGATAGATAAGTTACTGAATCTGTTGAACTGTTGAAGGTCCAAATATACCCTGAAACAAGGAAAGTTTTTAAAATTTTTCAAAGTGACAGCTAAACCTAAGGTCTTACAAAAACTTTAAAAAAGTCATGGAAAGTCATGGTATATGGATCATATACCTTTAAGCATTTTGTTTCACATGCCAAGATGAGGCATGTGAAACAAAAGCTGAAAAAGGCTTCTGCTTTTAAAAGCTATTAAAGCGTTGAACCACTCCAGGCATGTTAAGATGTTGAAACCATGATGAAGGTCCTTTAAATGTTTTCAATTGTATTGTTTCAAGCATTACTAGGCAGATCTCTATAAAAATGTATTGTTATAGTAGATGTACAATTTTCTTCTCTCCTTAGCTAAAACATACCTATGCCTTGGTGCTGGTCTATGATTTCCTGTTTGGGCAAGGAATTCAAGGTGGTGGAGAATTCAAACAGTGTATCTTAAAAAACAAGTCTGTATTGCAGTCATGTTTGGCTCGTATGAAAGTTCGCGCCAAAGTCCACAGAAATGAGGACCTTTTACCCAAGAAGGCTCATGAAGCAGGTTAGAATTTGAATGCCTAAAGGAGGGGTAGTGTAGTAGCTCTAATGATTTCACTAATATAAAGTTTCTGAACATTTTGCTGCTATTGTTGTGTTATTGTCAAGGCTGTCCTCCAAGGAAAGTTCAAGGGGGCCCATGCAGTGCTCTGAACTTGTAAAATCATGAGGATCCGCAAGACTTAGAGACCGGCGAAGTCGGTCATCTGAAATGACCGATTGCGCAATGTAAAACAAAAGACGTGTTGACAACTCATAGAATACGATCCTCTCTAAATCATCACGACTGAATGTTTCATTTTATTTACAACTCATCGTTTGACAACTTAACCAAATTAATTAGAAATTTGATTCATTGCACTCAATGGAAACACAGAAAAAAACTCGTGGGACCTTTCAAAGCAAGCCGCGACAAACGGCGAGTAAAACGCGTGAACAATTTGGCGTGTGAGCTGCAAATGCCGAGTTAAAAACTATTTTTCTTGTGAGTGAAATATTTGGCTAAAAGCGAGGAAAACTAAATGCACGCGCCGTAACAATTATTCGAAACCAAATCTTACATAGAATTCTTTAGTCAGTTTTGCGAAGGTTAACGCATAAAATTTAATAGTACAATATTTATTTTGCCAACGGAAGGCCTCGTTGCTTGAACGACTATAAACTGCGAGCAGTCTATTATTTTCCTTTACAAAGCCGCGAACTGCTAAATGCGGGCGTCTCGACCTTCACTGATTTCACTGAAAAGCTTTGGCCGAGAACGGAAAGCGCGGGCATGGAAAGTCTCTGGCACCCAGGGTAAATTCTCTATTCTAAAGTTGTTGTTTACAATCTCGCTAGCTGGAATAAGAACTAAACAGATTTTAAGAGAAAAGGCGGGCTGCAAACAGTCTAGAAAGACTTTCTTAAATGTTTGAAATAAACACGACTTAAAAACTCGTAATGTTGTGAGACGTGACCTTAGAGTTTGCTTGAACAACAGGGGTTTTCCTTCTTTCCCTCGTCGCGTTGGTCACCAATGCCGCACATCGAGCGTTCTAAAATTGTATTTTTCCGCCGCACTGAGACTTACATTTAGCGGTCATAAAAATGGTCTATGCAAAAAAGGGGCCTGCAAGCAGTCTAGAAAAAATCTCTTAATTGTTTGAAATAAACACGACTTATAAACTAGTAATAATGTGAGACGTGACCTTAGAGGTCCTTAGAGTTTGCTTGAACAACAGGGGTTTTCTTTTTGTCGCGCGTTGGTCACTATGCCGCGCGTGGAGCGTTCTAAACTTTCTACTGAGCGAATCTTATTTTTTTCCGCGACATACATTTCGAGGTCAAGAAGATGGTCCATGTACATTGGGTAATTATTTTCTAAAAATAAAGATTTTAGTTTCTTTTGTATTTTCTCAAGATCATTTTAGACGCTGATGCAGTCCATTAAGTTTTTCTTGGAACAAGTGAGTCTTTGAACTGGAGCGCCACTTTTTCTGTAGGTATTAAAGTATTATGCCTGCCAAGATTGCTTAATATTAGATTTCAAAAGTTTCTACATTTTTAAATCTTTATGATATGAGTTTTCATATCAGCGAAAAGCTTTTTTAGACACATAAACGTATAAAGTTTATGGTGCCTCCGTTGTTTTTTTTTGCTCTTCAAGGGCTATTGCTTGAACAAAGCCTTCTGGAGCATCTAAAGGTTGGTAGTTGTTAAAATGATAATACTAGGTTAATAAATACATGTTTCAATACTAAGGAAAACTATTCACTTGTTCATTCCCCTGCAGTTTAAGGCAAAACGCAATAGAATCCAGCCATATCCTAAAATGCACAGAAAAAGATACAAAACTCAACAGAAAGGACAAATAGAATAGCATAGAGTTCATGCCATTATCAATAACAACCCTTTATGATCCAGTGTAACTGCAAACAACAATATTTTCTAAATGACCGATTGTCAGTAAGAGAAGTAAAATGTCAAAAACCCATTCCCAAAACCTACTCACTTAAGATGACCATTAGATAAGTTTACAGGTGAATTAAAAATGTGATGAATTTCTAACTCACAGAAACACGGGCGACACACTTAGTGTTCTGTTGCATTTCACAATTTGCACTTAAGGAGTCGCAGATCATCATGGCATTATCAAAAACCTACTCACTCAAGATGACTATTAGATAAGTTTGCAGGTGAATTAATAATGCCATGAATTTCATACTCACAGAAACACGGGCGACACACCTAGTGTTCTGTTGCATTTCACAATTTGCACTTAGGAGTCGCAGAACATCATGGCATTATTAAAAACCTACTCACTCAAGATGACTATTAGATAAGTTTGCAGGTGAATTAATAATGCCATGAATTTCTAACTCACAGAAGCACGGGCGACACACCTAGTGTTCTGTTGCATTTCACAATTTGCACTTAGGAGTCGCAGAACATCATGGCATTATTAAAAACCTACTCACTCAAGATGACTATTAGATAAGTTTGCAGGTGAATTAATAATGCCATGAATTTCTAACTCACAGAAGCACGGGTGACACACCTAGTGTTCTGTTGCGTTTCACAATTTGCACTTAGGAGTCGCAGATCATCATGGCATTATCAAAAACCTACTCACTCAAGATGACTATTAGATAAGTTTGCAGGTGAATTAATAATGCCATGAATTTCTAACTCACAGAAACACGGGCGACACACCTAGTGTTCTGTTGCATTTCACAATTTGCACTTAGGAGTCGCAGAACATCATGGCATTATCAAAAACCTACTCACTCAAGATGACTATTAGATAAGTTTGCAGGTGAATTAATAATGCCATTAATTTCTAACTCACAGAAGCACGGGCGACACACCTAGTGTTCTGTTGCATTTCACAATTTGCACTTAGGAGTCGCAGATCATCATGGCATTATCAAAAACCTACTCACTCAAGATGACTATTAGATAAGTTTGCAGGTGAATTAATAATGCCATGAATTTCTAACTTACAGAAACACGGGCGACACACCTAGTGTTCTGTTGCATTTCACAATTTGCACTTAGGAGTCACAGATCATCATGGCATTATCAAAAACCTACTCACTCAAGATGACTATTAGATAAGTTTGCAGGTGAATTCATAATGCCATGAATTTCTAACTCACAGAAGCAAGGGCGACACACCTAGTGTTCTGTTGCATTTCACAATTTGCACTTAGGAGTCGCAGATCATCATGGCATTATCAAAAACCTACTCACTCAAGATGACTATTAGATAAGTTTGCAGGTGAATTAATAATGCCATGAATTTCTAACTCACAGAAACACAGGCGACACACCTAGTGTTCTGTTGCATTTCACAATTTGCGCTTAGGAGTCGCAGAACATCATGGCAGTATGAAACACCCACTCTTGAATACATACAGATCGATGAAAAAGAAGAATTTCTTCTTAAAGTTAAATGTTGCCCTTTAAACAAACATAACACATTGTAGTGTTTTCTGTCAAAAAAATTTCACTTTTCTTTAAGACCTCTGTATGCCTAATCACATTTGCAAAACAGTTTATGAGATCAGCCTTTATGAAAAAAAAAAACATTATTAGCCATTGAAAAGTGACAGGAATTGAAGTGAAAGGAGAAAAAAATGAATTTAAGTAAGGGAGAAACAATGGGCTTCAAAAATTATGTCCCACAATAATTACAAGAAAATGATATTTCAACAAACAATAAACCGGTTAACTGACCTCATTTCTCACAATTTGCTATGCAAGTTGGTATACTGACTTTGTTATTTAATAAAAGCGAGTCATACCCATTGTTACTTGGTTGTTTCCTGAGTGAAGGATGTGTACAGAGATTTTGGATTGGCGGGCTATTTTGGGGAATTGGCGGGCTATTCGATTTTGTCGCCAATGGACAGAACCCTTGAATCAAAATGAACTGATCCAGTCCACCACCTCTTGAAATCCGTTACTAGAAACATGATTTAGCTAAGGGACTTGTGGCGAATGATATCGAGCGACAGCGGACCAAAAAGCCCCCTCCATCGACGGCACGGAGAACCAACTCATACAAGCAAGAACGCCATCTTGTCAGACTGCTTAAATTCCTCGCTAAAACTCTTGACTGAATCGGAGGAGCCGAACATGCATAGCTTTCCATTACATAGGCTGGAATTCAAAGCAATGATACCAAGTCTTTTCGGCATCCAGCGAAGTTGAAAAAAAACCGGCGTAATAGAATAGACGAGGATCGTCACACATGTACACCGCCATCACTCGTGGCTCTCACTCTCAGGAATCTTCTGACAAAGTATCGTGGCAGATCTAGCGCGATATACCAAAAGCATACCATATAAAGTAAAATCCAATTAATTCCATTGTAGGATGGGTTATACTTTTACTTGCACAATCCTTTTTTCGACTTGCTGATTTGTTTCTTTGTTTTGACATTACGACGCATAAATAAAGACTGCAGGCAACCGCATGCCTAAAAAGCGGCTCAATATTTACACTCGACTCCGTGTCGTCGCTACAGATCGGCTATCGTGAGATAGCACCGGCCAGTCGCAATAGGCAAAATCTTGTTTAGCCTTGAAGCACTTCAGTTTGAAAGGGAAAATATATTTTTGAAAAGACAATTCGTTCTTCCGCTTTATTTCCTGATCATTGCTGTTCGCGCGTCCTGGCGCCTGGATTCCTCGTGCTGAAATCTGGCAAAAAATTATCTAGAACGCAACTTGAAGGTTTTGCAAGGCATACACTTTACTATAAGCAAAATTGTTTTAAGTTTGCTTTATTTTAATTTTTATAATGGATAGCGTTGTATTTTCATCTGGTTTTTACTATCTTGAACGCGTTCTGAGCTTTCAAAAGGATTACTACTGTAGTGGCATATGACAGGGTTGACACCTTATCGGATTACGTTTTTTGGCCAGAAATTAACGTGCTAATTAAATTCCCACAGCAGGAAATTCTCTTGTCACCTTTTGAAAACAAAGCGTCCGTAGCAACTAAGAAATCATGCTGATCGCAAAAAAAAGTCGCTTGCGGATCCTCATGCTGGTTGACCAGCATTATGATTTGTATGATTGTCAAGTTGCGTGGGGGCTAAAGTTAGGCACTACAAGCCACTGGGCTTTGGTAGAGCACAGCCTTGATTATTCTGATTATTAGTTTGTCAAAATAATATTAGTAACTGTTTTGTTTTTTATAGTGAAAGTGCACTTATCGTTTCTAGCTACCACCAGTTGCGAAAATACATGTTGAGACACTGTACCTTATTTTGGCCTATTGGTCTTTCCATAATCCTGTTTTTGTGATCCACCTTATAGTTAGTACTACAGTTCTAAGGCAGAGATAGAATTGGCTCTTTTGTGACTCTTGGACTTTACAAATGTATCCCTGCCAATATCACATATTAATGTCCTTCTCCCAGTACATATAGCAGTTAATATTTTTGGAAGAGGCTGAGTGATAAAAAGCAATCTGGAGATTGAGAGGGCTATAACACCCTCTGAAAAAACCCAAGAGGCAGGAGGCAACAAATTTGCTTTTTACAAGCGTAACTGATGATTCAAACCAAGGACAAAATCATTACAGTAAATTATTTTGCAGAAAATTTATTCAGTAAGGAGGCAATAATTTATACTTTTTGCAACACCAAGAAATGACGAAACACCCCTAACTAGTGATCTAATAAATATTTTGTTGCTTCAGGTTCTATTCCACGTTACATCAGAATCAACAGGATTAAGACAACAGTAGAGGAAGTAATCAAACATTTTAAACAAAATGATTACCAGCAGGTTCAGTTAGAGGGAGTTGAAGCATACATTCAAAAGGTTAATACGTTTTTTGGTGTTATTTGCAAGCAGTAATGGCAGATCCTAACAATAGTTAACCCTATATGTAACAAGTAAACGAAAAATTCTATAAAATAAACAGTGTATCGATCATTGAAGCCAACATCAACACTTACTTTTCACTCAGGGAAAAATGTGAACTTAGGGGAGGGGTAGGTGGGCAGTTTCCCAGAAACATATAATGATCCCAGTGTATTATAAGAATGTGTCTTGCTGTGTATTTCCAAGGGATTTGACTACCACTTAATGAGAAGATGGTACCATAATCTGGGATAAAGCAAAGTGCTCTTTATTCTTTTTTGCATTTTCTGTCCCTAGAGCAAGGAGTCAACTTCTAGTAAACAGTTCATGTGTGATGTACATCTGCCGGACGTTCTCATTTTCCCTCCTGGAACAGATCTCCATAACCATCCTCTTTACGTCAGTGGACTTATCCTTCTTCAAGACAAGGTGAGAAGTGGATTAGCACTTTTATACCCTGCGAGTGTGTCCAAGCTGAGAAGGATATAGTAAAATTTATTGCCTTGCCTTTCATAATCTCAAATTTGGTCATTTCACGTCATTGTTGTGAATTGACAGGGAAGAAATTGATAGATACATGTGGCACATGTATTACATTCACAGTTGAATCATTTGATAATTTTTTTTCAACTTCTTTTTTTTTTGCTTGTTGTTATTACAATTCAGGCCAGCTGTCTCCCAGCACATGTTCTAGACCCACCTGCTGGATCTCATGTCATTGATGCTTGTGCAGCTCCTGGCAACAAAAGCAGTCATTTAGCCAGCTTAATGAACAATCAAGGGTAAGTCACTATAATAATTACAGCAGAAGCCATTTAAAAGGCGAGGCCTTTCCAGCTCATGATCACATGACCAATCTCATGCTAAAGATTACATGTATGGGATATATCCCCCTGGCAGAATATCAGAGATCGAAACAGGATGAGGAAAATGGTGGATTTACCATCTCTCTAGGTTTTAATTAATTTAACTCTTAAAAGTGCAATTTGATGATGGTTTGAAAAGCAGAGAAATACTACAATGAAAAATATCCAGTAATGGAAAAATCGCTGTATCACATGCCTTGTAGTCTTTGGTTTATACTTACAAACCCTTATAATTAATTTTTGCAGGCATTCCAACACTCTCCAGAATCTTACTCAGTAGTCTTTTGTGTCAGTTACCTCAATGAAGTTGCATTAACAATGCATAGTTAAGGTGGCCATAAGGCGGGTTCTACTGTATCCATCTTCTACTGGAATTTAATCACCTAAGATAGCGAGGGTTGTCCAATACTGCGAAAAATTTATGCATGGTATGGTATTGTATTGGCTTCACATTACCATATTGTACAAAAGCATAACAATAAAGAACGAAGCAAGACAATGAGAAATTTAACAAAGCCATGCATAAATTTGTCAGAGTGTTGGACAAGTATGAAGATAGCCTCGAATGTGGGAAAGGAGTGCGTGACAAAGCCCTTAAAACATATGCTGGGTGGCTACACCCAAGATTGCATACTGAAGGGCATTTGGTTGCGCTGGTCAAATTTCTAAGGAATCCACAAATAATCGGCGTCAAAATTTGTTTTGACACTTTGCCTTGAAGAGTCTCTCTGACATTTTGCCTTCCCTCTCCCACTTCCTTCATGCAATGTGACTGTTGTCCCGCTTTTCGAGCTACCTATAGAGAACAACAAACACCCCAACTTTGAATGGAGGCGAGGGGGGAGGGGTGTGTATTGTTTTGCTCTTCAAAGTTACGCCATTGGAGTACAATTATTGTCTCAACAATTTAGTTGCTGATTGCAGCGAAATGTTCAAGGATGTACTTGGCCTCTTGCGTGAATATTCAGCGATTCAATTAATCTGCAAAGAAATTGCACCCCAAGCTAACTTGCAGCTTGATTGTACATGTATTAAGGAAATGAAACATTGTGCTACAAATGTATTTAACATATTCCTTTCCTTTTTTTTTGTTTTGGACAGCAATATATTTTCATTTGACACCGACAGAAAGAGGCTGGCAGTGATGCAAAGGCTGATGAAGCTAGCTGGTGCTAGCTGCGTTACAACATCAAACTGTAGTTTTTTAGAGGTTGGTATCACAGAAAAGTCTTCTGCATAAGTAAAAACCTTGATTTCCAGCTCCCGTGGCTTAAAAACAAGCACTACTGTAAGTAAGCATACCTCAGGATCTATGATGGGAGAAGGGTCATTGTTGTAAAGATCATAAATCATCATCATCATCATCATCATCATCATCATCATCATCATCATTATCCTCGTTAAATGGCTAAATTCATTTTAAAAAAAACGCCATTATTTTTGGTTTCTTACTAGGTAGATCCTGTAGATGAGAAGTATAGCAAGGTAGAGTACATTGTTGTGGATCCCTCATGTAGCGGGTCCGGTATTGTTAGCAGACTGGACAACCTTGTTGATGAGGAACAAGCCACTGAAGGCGAAATGGTGAGACTGGCCGCTGGGGCCTGACCAATAAGAAATTTTCTAAAGGCGGACAGAAACAATAACTGAGTATGAATGCCCAACTGCATTTAAAACATCCAAACTTTAATCTAGATTGTCAAAGCTGAGCGTTTTAAGAGAATAGGGAAGTCAATGGTGGGCCCTTAAAAATCGTTCAAACAGGAGAGCTTGATGTGAGTTGGATCGTGGGGACGCAGCCTGTCTCTCTCAAGTTTACAATTTTTCAAAAGTGTGCGCTTCCCCATTTCTATGTCTTTGTGAGCGAAAGAGGACAGTCAAATTTATTGACTGTACTACAGTTTTTTTTTTTTTTTGAGCTCTTGCGCTATGATTTTAACAGACATTTAACGTTGCTGCTTTTAAACCAAGTGTACTGATCAGTTGGTAACCGGTCATTTCGCTGTGCTTACTTAGCCCCCTATTTTCCATTCATTTAGCGCGCTTCAAATGTAATGTTCTTCGTTGTATAAGCCAGAGAGCCAAACAAGGTCGCTTGAAATGTAATATTCCTCGTTCTTTAATTCATAAACCAAAACACGCACGCTTCAAATATAATATTCCTCGTTTTAGAAAAGGGAGCTAAGTAACCGGGGTGAAATGACCTGGGGTGATCAGTTTCTGGGGAGCCAAACACTTTGATCCAGTCATTTCGCCCCATTTAAGGTAATCCAAGACAGTCTAGGATTCTGGATTCCACGCCGTGGATTCCGGATTCCAGGTACTGAATTCTGGATTCTTTGCCAGTGTAATCGTTAGTGGGATTCCGAATTCTTTGAGCTGTAGTCTGGATTCCAAAGCTTGGGATTCCGGATTTCTTAAGCAACAATTCTCCGGATTCCGGAATCCGAATTCCCTTACGTGAGGTGTTGTGAACTATTCGCTTGTTGAGTGAGTTTCCTGTTTCTTTGAGAGACTAAGCTTACTTTTCGTTCTGTTTGCAGAATAGACTTGAATCACTTGCCAAGTTTCAGTTGTCAGTATTGAATCACGCCCTGTCATTTCCTTTTGTAAAGAGGGTGGTGTACTCCACTTGTTCTGTTCATCAAAAGGTATGGCTACAACACCTGCTGTTAAACCTACTACGCTGACTACCACATTCAGTAATCTGCAACTATTTCTCAAGTGCGGAGCACCACGTCAGACGAGATGACCCACGACCACGAAGCGAGTGGTTGTTTTTGCATTTGCAAAAATAATGTAATAAAAGCTTGACCTGGCTTGATTGTAATAGGCATAGCTCTGTAACGTTTCGGGTGAGGGGCGGAGGGAGGAGGCGATTTTGGTATGTAGTACGCGAGCTCGCTGGGGACCAACACTAAACTTTATATTAAAAAGGGGGGAGGGAGACACAAACGACAGAAAATACCGTACGGGTTGCGTTTTATGAGATCGGCGATAGTGTTGTTCAAGTAATGGTCTTTTTTTTCTGTTCAAGGAAAACGAGGATGTTGTCGAAGCAGCTTTGAGAAGAAATTGTGACAGATTCACTCTGGAGCACTGTTTGCCCTCTTGGATACACAGAGGATTACCTGTCTTCCCAGGGGGTAGGCATATCATATCGCTCTTTGTGCCTTTGGAGTCGACCATAGTCATCCTGACAGTATCTCGCAACAGTCACCTAGATATAATCTTGGGTGGTCATTCGACACTTGTCACATAATGACCTAAGTGTAATAATTACGCTATAGAATAGAATAGAGAATGCAAATCTGGATACCGTAAATGTAACAGATCTGGAGATATTTACTAATCTGGAAAAATCTCCTCCTTTTCCCAAGAGTTTTTTTTAGCAAAAACTCTTGGGAAGAGCCTGTTTCATGGACAAAATGCCTGCTCCAGCTATGGTCTGGCCGGTCATATCTGACTTTTGGAAAGCGCCCTATAGACTTTATCGGCTTTCTCACACTTGTAATAACCTTGTATCGAGTAAGAATCACGCACAAATGATCGAAATCTGACTTTTTTTTTTTACTTTTTTACAGCGGAGAAATGCATTCGCGCTTCGCCAAGTGTAGATTATACCAATGGATTTTTTGTGGCACTCTTCGCGAGGAAAGACATAAAGAAGGAACAAAAAGTTTCTGCGGATTGTAGTGCCGTTTTAACGAGCAGAAAGCGAAAACATACAGACGATGGTGTCGTTGAGAAATTTACGGCACCATCATCAAGTCTAAATGGAGAGGATTCTTTGATATCACCAGCAATTGTTAAAACTGGGTCAAGGAATGTTGATTTTCCACCGAGAAAGAAACGACGTAAAAGAAAAAAGAACCAGAAGCGACAAGCAGAGACACAAAACATGCAAATCATGCCTTCTGTGGGAAAACTTAAAGGCGGAATAACTAGCATCGATAAGAAAAGAAACCGCAAGAAAAAGAGAAAGAATAAGAAAGTGCCAGTTTGCCTATCATAATTATTTTGTCTGTCTTTACTACTTACATGCTTCAAATGGACATGCTTTGATAAATGGCAAATTTGTAAACACTTAATACGAAACTATTGTAGCTTCTTCCGCCCTTATTGGACAGAATACTGTTTTTTTTTTTGTTGGAATAAGCTGGAATAAGCTGTACTGGAATTTACTTGGATAACTCACATTCCCTTTTCTGGTATTGATCACCATCATTTTATCTAATAGTCATTGTTCTTTTGCAAAATTTCCTCTCCTTTGTTGTTCGTTTTTTGTATATCTATTCATACACAACCTGGTGTGCGCGCATCTAGAGTGCAAAAGCCCAGTTTGATTCTACTTAAGTCCGTTATCAACTATAATGCGAACAAGGTTAACACGATAAAAATGAATATTACAAAGCTACATATTTTCATTCCAGACAACAACTCTTACTGTAACATTCATTAATTGATGAAGTTATGACCAATCAGTAGGTAATGCTTGAGGTACACGTACTTCTCTTAAAGCCAATACAAATCAGCTGGGCTGACGATTTACTAGCATACTTTACAGGCACGGAGAGGGGTTCGCTAGCCTAGCCTCCCACGCAGGCGTTTTGAGGGGAGCTCGTGTTTTTAAAAAGGCCCGCGTGGGAGGCTATGGCTAGCCAGGCGAGAAAGGAATTCACCGTTTTCACTGCCCATAACACACCTTGTTTACCCCCAAAAGGTTTTCGCAACCATTGTCTTTAATTTCTCTTGGGATGACTGTAACACTCACCAGAAATAGGAAACAATGGTTAAGCATTTTTTTTTTCTTTGAGAAGGTGTAGTATAAGCGATGTGAAAATAGTGAACTTCGCGTTTTTTCTTCCTCTCTGTTTTTGTTTTTTTTTGCGGGGGAGGGAGGGCGGTGGGGAAGGGAGTCAGGCTAATGAATTATTCAGCAGTAGAAGTAACTTTTGATAAACGCCTCCTCAGCGAACTAATGTTCGTTAACCTGCGTCACAGCTCTCTGCTAACTTTTTCACTTTTGATGAACCTGGTTAAAGAGATAACAAAGATCATATCATATTCTTTCACAGCAGAAAGTTCTTATCAAGTCTCTTCTTTTTGCTATTTCAAGTCCTTCAGCAAGTTTCTGGTAAGTTGCGGCGCTTCCATTGACTTCCATCCACCGTCTGAGCATTGCGTGACCCTTCTCTACTAAACCGTTGATATCCTCATCAATTTCATTTAGCGTAGCGTCGTCCAGTTGCAGAGCTCTTCCGATGCGTTTCCATGTTTTAAGCTTCCGCGCAAGGCTGTGGATTTCTTGTTGGTTTAGCACGCCTTCCTTGAACGGCGCGCCTGTAATAGTGAAAAACAAAAAAGAAGAAGAAAGAAAGAAAGAAAGAAAGTTGAAAAATTACAGGAGTGCCTCTGATCCCGATGTATCAACTCTTGCACTCACACGTGATTAGATGAACGCTTTTTTCGTAAAGTTACTATAAAAGCGCATGGTAGCATTCATTGCGTTTGTTTAGGTGGAACTCACTTGACACTCTCTGCTTAAATATCAGCATGGCACGCAAGGCATTTTCGATTAGCATGGTTCTTTATCAGAACGTTTTTCTGATTCTCTCTTCTCCGCAGAGGCTCCCGCTGGGTATCCCTATAAAAATAGCAATCATCGAAAAAGAAAAATAGAAAGCGCGCGGGGGACGATGGGAAGAGAGAAGAGGCGGGAGCCTCTCTTCTCTATTTCCCCTTCTCATCGTTCTCCGCGCGCTCTCTTTTTCTTTTTCCTCAGTCTCCCCACAACAGAAAGAGTCCTCTGCGGAAGAGAGAGGTCCTGATTGTCATTGATTCTGGTGCAGATGGCAAAAGAGGATAACCAACTATTTTACCTTCACTACCCAGAAGGACACCCACACAAGAGTAGATACAGGGGCCTGTTGGTCAGCAAGGACCTCGAAGCCAGTCAATTGCAAAATTTAAAACGTTAGATTACAAGATCGCACTTAATAATAATAATAATAATAATAATAATAATAACAATAACAATAACACCCTATGGCGAAAAGCAAACCTCTAAAGAAACAAAGTGCGACATTGCAGGATAATAAAACCCAAACCGCAATGTGGGAAAAAAGGGAACGTACACTCCCGCCTGCTGAAATCAGCTGAGTTCTCGACAACTCGAGGGCAGAGGTACGTAAAAACTAGCTGTCAAATGCCTATAAACAAATATGATAAAATTGGCAAATAAAATAAAAGTTAGGAGCTCGATTGCTGACCTGAACTGATTCAAATTTGCAACGTACAACAAAACAAGCGAAAACATTTCTCAAAAATCTACCCACAGTTCGTTCTAGTCGGCCAAATGGATATTTCTGTCTGTTCCGTTATTCTACACTGTCAGAAATACCACTATCATGTTTTTTAAAGGCTTTTTACAAAAAATCATATTTGGCCGACATCTTGATACAGACGGAGACTAAAGGGGCTGTGTCACGAACTAAGTAAAAGAAGATTGGAGGCTGGTGTGATTTATATTTACCAGTTGACATTTCTACAGACTCCTCGTCATCGCTTTCACAGCAGTACTTCTTCGCTATATCAGGTCTCCCGACAGTTTCATGTTGTAAGGCCTGCCCAAGCTCCTGGTATGTTGGCGGGTCAGTTTGGACCTCGGTCCATGTGGTCAGCATGCAGTAGCATTGTTCGTATTGTCCTTCCCTTATGTTGTCAGCCTCAATCTGGTCCAGTGTTGAATCGGGTATGCGCAGTTGTCGACCAAGGCTTTTCCAGACGGCGCACACATCACTTGACACAAGATGAAGAACCCTGGGTGATGGTGATCCTGACTTGAAAACGATATCATGGACAGCGACTGGAAACCAAAAAAAGAAAATCTCAAATGAACTCTTTCCTTCTACCTCGCCCCATGTAAGCCCAATGTAAGCTTCCTCCCAAACCAACCCCCGCCCCCTAAGTAGTTTTAACGCTCATCCGAGATGGCTGCCCGTAACGCAAAGCGCTCGATCTCGACGATCTTACGGAAAAATAGGGGACTGTGACTAGTCTACAAAAACTGCTCTACTTTGCCCTCCTCCAACTTCATCTGCGCCTTGTGCAATAGGGACCGCCACTCGCGCATTAGCCTATACCGCCAGACAAGACGTTAGAGCACCACCACAAACTGACCAGGTCACAAAAGCATTGTCTCTCGAGACTTCGGCTGTCAATTATATGGTAACCAAGATGTACAAGGATGATCGAGATTGTTATTTGAATAATAATGATGATGATGATAAAATAAATTATTATTATTATTATTATTATTACTATCAATATTCTGAAAATAATATCAAACTTAAAAATATACAATGAAACAGATACCAACTATGACTGGCAATTAAGTAATAAGGTATTTCAAAAACTCTTCAAAAGTATTTTCCTAAGCTTTGCTTTAAAGGCCATTAAGATTACAACTTCTTGCAAATGCGGTGGCAAATTATTGGACGCTTGGACTACAGCATAAAAAAGGCATTTCTTTGCAGATTCTGTGCGTATTAAGACATCCCTAAATAGAGAGGGAGAGAGTTAAGCTTTGGGAAAGGTAACCAGATAGATTCTATAAAATTAATGTAAATTATAATAAAGTACCTGAGCAATCAAAATCAGGAGTGTGCTCACTTTCTTGGCGATCAAATTCCTCTGAGATTCTTCGGTCCCTTGCCCTTTCTAAAAGTAATAAGAATTAAGTAACAATGATGTGTCTTTACTTTACCTTTCTTTGCTTATGAGGTACAAATAGCAAGTAAATTAAAACTTCCTCTTTTGCAGTGCGACTACTGTAACCGGGGCCAATCAGACAAAGTTGACCAATCGGATTACAGGAAAATAACAATACATCCCAAGAAAGTTGGTTGTGAGCCAATCAGCGGCTCGTAAAAAAACAAGTTACTTTAAAAACAATAATCATTTAAATATTGATAGCAAACGTTTGCAAGGAAACAAATTTTTTAGCAGACAACGTTTTTCTATTCGAAACGTTACACATAACACCCAGGGCGGGATACATCATTCGTTTGACACAAGCTGTTATCATTGTCATCTACCAGCAATTTCTTCGCTACCATTGCCCCTCTTTGAAGTAACATGCGACCTCAAGTCGAAATTATAACTAACATTTCCGCTTTTCGCTTCCGTCTCTCGCTCTAACGGGCCTCTCAGGAAACATAGGCTTTCTTCAGCTGGTTGAAACGGTCACGTTTGGAGGATTTCGTTTCGTAGTAATTATGATTGTTCTCGGAATGTATTGTTTTTTTTTCTGTAATCCGATTCGTCAACTTTGTCCAGGTGACCCCGTTTATAGTAGTCGCAATGTGAACGAAATCATAACTGTTTTTGTTCCATCTTTTTTTGCGCCCATTACATAAGACATGTTGAGTATTTGACAGCGTATTAAGTGGGGGTGGGGACAGGGTGGTCCAACCCTCAAGCCTCCCGTCCCTTGCATTCCCAGCTCCACCCCCCCTATTTTATAGGCTTCCTCCCTTTAACCCTTTTTCTCATGCCAACCCCGGTAGGTTTTAGAGAAACTATAGCGATGAGTCAGTGAATTCAAAAGTCCGAATTATTTAGAGCGCTAAGTTCGTTTGGGAAAAGTTCTGTACGATCGGCATTGGCATTATTAGCGCAGCTCGAGGCGCGCACGAGGATAGCCCAGTACCTAAGAAAATGTGGTACCCATCCGTCTGCCGCCTGTCTTTCTGCACCACAGGCATACCAATGTAAAATAACTCAATCAACAGGTATGGCAACCCAAATGCAACTCGAGGTTATTTTGGCGGGAAATTGCATAGCCACCAGCGTCTTTTGAAGAAGAGATAACTTAAGACGGAAAGCGGAAATTGTTTCTGTATCCGTGTTGACTAAAGTATTGAGCTTAGATTAATTGTGATGTCTACACATTTGGAATATGGAGAAAGACAGAAAAGAAAGACAGAGAAAAAGAGAAAGTAGGTGACAGGCCAGGCCAGGCCAGGCCACGTTGTAGTGTTGCAAAACAAGGGCAAAGAAATGTACAAAAAAAAGTGTGCTGCACGTGCAAAGTTGCTTTTTCGCTAATTAGACCTATTGTTGTTTTACCATTCTCGTTGCCTTCGCCGCTTAAGGTGATGTTACACAGGACGATTCGTAACCACGAGTTTTAGCGCAACACAGCGTTGCAACATTGTTGCGACATTGTTTCGAAAGGTTACAACATTGTTCCGGCATTGCAACGCTGTGTTGCGGTAAAAATCGTCGTTGCGAATCGTCCAGTGTAACATTACCTTTAGCATTACACGATTTTATATTTTCTTTGAGCAAACTATAAATATTATCCAGAGCTTCGCTTTTAGCTCTGGCTAAATCTATATATTACGTTTTTTATAAATGGTGCTAGTTTTTTCTCCAGTTAGCAGTGATACAAAAACTAATTAAAAGAATTTACCCCCCAAAGGCTCCTTTCAAGATTTATCTATCCATTACTGACCTTCTTTCAGAGGATAAACTAAACAAGCGGGAACCATCTCTTCATGGCGATCGCATGTTACATGCCCCTTGGGACACTTCGCTTCCAAATTTGACTGAGGAAAGTGTCCAGGCTCTGAGATATTCACACGCATGCAGAAAGGGCAGATAATCCAGCACTCCCATCTCAAACCAGGCCATTGTTTCATCAAGGCAGTTAGCTCGTGATGGCAAGCAAGAAGTACCGACCAAATTTGCATCAGTTCTGTTCCTTCAACTGACACGGTTATAATCGATTCTTCTGCTTCGAGAGATCTATGAACAAGGAGACACGAGTTCTTAACTCGTGCATACATTCCGTTCTTCCAATCGTGACGACTTTTTAAATCACTTATGTGCTGGTGGAGGCGAACCACGAAGTTGTGAAAGAGTGGCTCAGGTAACATCGCGGGATAAAGGTACTTTAATGAGAGGCGACAGCATCCAGAAGAAAGGGGCTTGTGCAAAAACTCCTGCACACAGGAATCCTCTGGCTCTCCTTCCTGTAAAAACCAAGGGAAACGAAGTCCTTCTTCTGTTCCTTCACTGTTTATGGGATAGCACAGTTCCAGATGAATCAAAAGGTCTACCAAGGCATCGAACACTGTTTCTTCAATCTGATGGTCTTTCCACAGTGCCTTCAACAGTGTTGGCGATAGGACACCACGCGTGACTAAATCTTGCTTGGCTTGTTCAAATGAATGAGATGTAAAGCATCTCCTGCTGTTACCTTTAAAAGCCAGAGAACCGTCAAGTAAGTTTCCCGAAAAGACAACCTTCATGACTTCCGTCAGAAATTCTGCACGGTGGAACACAAATTTCTTGAGCTCAGTAGATTGATGATACCACAGCAAAGTTCCAATGTCATGGAAAAAGGCCAAGATTGTTTGAGTTCGCTCTTCGCTAGAAGTAAAGATACTTCTGATCATATCCCAAAACCGATTCTCTTGACTCTCCACCAACTGTTTGACGGTATCAAATGTCAAAAATGGCTGATCCTGTGTTACTTCCATATTCTGAAGGCTGTTGTAAATGTCAATCCAGTCAGTTGGAATTGCCTTTCCATCCTTAGCGACGATATCTTGAATTCGCACTCGCAAGTTCAGTATACCTTGATAATCTTTTGAGGACACTGTAAAAAAGTCTTCAACCCTGAAACTGGATTCTTCGTCTACTGGTCCTTCTTCTGCTGAATACAAAGACAAATGGGCTCTCGCCATTTCTTTTCTAGCACGGATCTCTTCTTCGCTTGCGAGGCGGTCAAGATGTGTTCCTACCAAAATGACCCGCGCTTTGGGCACGCGAGTTTTGAGAACATTTATCCAACTTCCTAGGTCTCTCATATACCTTTCCTCGCAATATCGTTGTAGATTTACAACAAGGAGAACTAGAGAGTTTTCATCCAAAAAGAGATGATGTACTATCTTGTAGATATCGTCTCCTCCAAAGTCAACTACACAAACGTCCATTAGCTCCTTTCCAGACTCAATTTCCCAAGAAATTTTATCGAGTACTATCGTCCTGTCTTTCTCCTCAACGCAGGATGGTCTATTCTTTGCTAAAGTGTTTGCCAAACTAGTTTTGCCAGCTCCGCTCGAACCAAGAAGGACAACCTTCTGATGCAATGCCTCCCCCTTTCTGATTTTTAGATATGCTCGAATCGCTGGCCAGCCTTTCTCGCAGACCTTCACAGGAGGGATTTGTAAAGGATTGCCATCAACTCTCAGCAATTTCAGATTTGGTAGACAGGCAAGGGACAACGGCAGGGTCTTCAGCTGATTTTCAGTCACTTTCAGTTCCACTAGACTATTCAACTTACCAACTCCTTCTGGTAATTCTTGTAAGTAGTTGTCTGAAAGGTCCAGAGAAACAAGCTGTTCAAGATTTTTTACACTTTCGTGCAGTCTCTTTAGCTTGTTTGAAGACAGTAGAAGCGATGTCAAGGCTTTGAGCTGGAACGCAGCCTGTGGTAGCTCTTCCAAGCGATTGTTCGACAGATCAAGCGTAGTAAGTTGATGGAAATTGATAATGTCGTCCTGGATCCGCGTTAGTTGATTTGATTCCAAGATCAGAGAAGTTAGCCCCTTAAGCCGAAAAATGCTTTCCGGCAGTTCTTGCAAATAGTTTTTGCCCAGATTAATTGTACTTAGTTGATCGAGGTCCCCTATTTCTTGAGGGACCTTTGTTATGCAATTGTCAGACACATTCAGAGTTGTCAATTTCTTCAGTTCAAAAACGCATTTTGGAATCTCAGTCAGCTCATTGTCAGGTAGTTGGAGGGTTGTTAGTTCGGAAAGATGAGCGAAGCGCTCAGAGAGTTTCGTGATCTTATTATACCCTGCATCTAGCTTCACCAATGTCTTTAACTTAAAAACGCAATTTGGTAACAGAAAGAATCTGTTACTACTTAGCAGAAGAGCGTTCAGTTTGGTCAGAGATGTGATTGTTCTGGGGAGGAGCACCAGATGGTTGTGTGAGACATCTAACGAGGTCAGGTTTTCCAATTTACCAACGTTTTCATGCAACTGGAACAAGTGATTGCCATTCACATGCAGAGAGGTGAGTTGACTCAATGTATTTATTTTGTCCGATAACGTCTTTAATCGGTTCCATGAAATATTAAGTGTGCTTAGCCTTTTCAAACGAAAAACGGTTTCTGGTATTTCTTCAAACCGGTTGATGCTCAAATTCAGAGTATTTAAATAACTGAGGTTGGAAAAGTTTTTGGGTAGCTGTTTTAGCCCATTGCATGACACATCCAGTTTGGAGAGCATCTTCAGACAACAAATCTCGTTTGGCAATTCCTCGAGGTTGGTGCCAGCCATCAAGAGGGTAGTTAGTAACTTTAGGTTGGTAATTTCTCCCGGTAATCTTTGAACTGGATTGTAATTTATGTCCAGGGAAACAAGCATCTTTAGTTGACATATTTCTTTTGGTAACTCATGGAGGTCATTGGATGCTAGAATAAGTGTTGAAAGTTGCTCTAAATTTTTTATGCCTCCAGGCATCGTTGCAAGCTTGTTGAACGCTACATCCAATGTGGTTAAGTTCTTTAGTTCTTCGATAACTTCCGGGAGCTCGCTTAATTTGTTATCACTCAGCCATAAAGTTGTTAGTTTAGTCAGGTTCTGTAATCCATCTGGTAGTTGTGTTAATTCATTGTTTGAAAGATCCAGGACCTCGATATCGGTAAGTGACGTAACAGCATCAGGAACTTGACGCAGGTGCTCTCCACTAAGAGAAAGCTCTTGTTTAGCCTGTGAAATCTGGTGAGCAACACTTTCAAGATGCCCTTTGCTCTCCATGGTTCCTCTCACCTGAAAGAACGTTCTTTTATCATAAAATCTGTGAACAAACAAAGTTTATTTTTTACGAATTCACAACCTGCAAAGCATTTCGTCTTTGGGATGGGGCATTTGACCACCACATTGGGCTAAAGTAACTGACAGGACTTTTAACAGACCTGTCTTAAAAAGTTGAAATGTCCGGGGAGTTGCCTTGAGAGATGTTGAAGTTTTGAAAAGCTCGGTGCATAATGTTAATTGGCAAAGACACCGGGAATTTTTGTTGAATCGTGGCTCAAACAAAAGGCGACGGTCACGAACACCACAAAATTGTAAATTGAATAGGCGTCTTTTTATAATTCATTGCGATTATTTAAATAGCAGCAGTTCGAAACCCAGATGTCAGCGAATTTTCCTCGGGAGTCGAGTTGTTTTAATAATAAATAATTATGAATAATAATTTTTAATAAAGAGAAAAGTGTGCTCAGAACAGCAATTGGTAACGTTTGCGCATGCGTCAAGATTGCTGGGAAGCACTTTATCGTAATAGCCTGCGTAGCAAGCGTTTCCGCGCGAGTTCGTCGAGAAAGTTGAGAAGAGAGCAAAAAAGGAATGACTGGGGAGGGGGAGGGGAAAGAAGGTTTTTTTCGCTTCCGCTCTAACTTTTGCGCAATAACTCGATTGGAAACGCTTGCTACGCAGGCTATTATCGTAATGGCGGAAAGCTGAGCTGAAGCACTTTCAAAGGAGATTCTTTTGCATACCCAATCAACAGGAGACATGTATTATAAATTGGGTACTTTAGTTAAGCCATGTTGAATTCTCATGTATGGTAGAAGGACCATTTAGCCGGTTAATGTTCATCCATTTTGCTCCCCTGATGAAGCAGATAACAGCGGTCACGAAGTCGTTTGTTGTGATATGTTGCTTTGTTGACATTCAAGCGGTCGCGGACTTCTGGGTTATCGTCCATGATCTACAGAGCTGCCTAGCATTTAGGTAAGATATACCCCTTGATTTACTTTGTGAAATGTGGAGCAGCATCATCGAATGTTATGTGATAAAATTATAGCAGCCAGAAATCAACGTAATTTATGTGAACCCCGTATTTCTGTATTATTTGACCCTGTCCGTACAGCGAGATCCAGTGGCAATCCCACACAATCGACTAAAAAGGTTAGACTTTCGGTCACTCCGTATTTTCACTTTTAATGGTTAATTCAAAGGGGGGAAGTTCGAGTAATTTGATATTATTTAGCGGTATGAAATCCTGCTCTTAAAAGTAAGGCCGTATTCGGCTGTTTCCTACCATTTTCGAAAATTTTCTTTTCTGGTTTACTTTGATGCTCTATGGTGATTACTTATTCACAGGGATTAAAAGATCGAGGCGGCGGATTGTGAAATATTATTAGCCAAAACTTCGTGGCAGACAAACAAATTTTTCTCGTCCTTTTCAACCTTGCGTTCAGGTTTTTCGTGAACGTGGAAAAGTATATCCCAACAAAACTTACTTGTAAAAGCGTTGTTTCGGAACACTCTTTCATTCTTGTATGTTTGATTTTGCATCCAAGGGTGAGGGGTGGGGGTGGGTTGGGACACTGATGAAATTGAGTTCTGATAATCATGCTCTGTAAGCTCTCAGATTCATTTTACAAGAACCCTCACCATTTGGAGGAAGATTTTATTGATGATTACACTTGTATGCTATGATGATTTGTTCATACATACAAAATTGGCACAAAAACGAATTTTAATCTTTTGCTTAAAATGTTTTCAATCCAAAAGATTTCTTTCATTCTTGAATATAAATTCATATCCATGACACCTCAGAAATCCTGAATATGTAAAGGGGTATTGCTAGTTATGGGCAACAACAAAATGCCATAGGTGTAACTTTTCACTCTCCGATAGAGATAATTCTTTTCATACTCTGTGTCTCATATATCCAGTATTTACAAGTGCACATAAATTTAAGAGCACTTGGCTTGCCAGTGTCAGATTGGCATTTTGTATACACAGTAGTGTATATAGTCATCTATCATAATCTGCGCAAATTGCCAGTTATGTAAAATTGCCCCTGAAACAAGTTCATTGATGTTCTTAGTGTTGCAACAGGACAAGTCATGGAAACTTTCATTTGCCTTTTGCCTGTTGCAGGAGCTCCCTATGAGATGCTCACCAATAAACCTTGTTGATTCAGGTAACAGTCCTTGAGGATGACTGCATGGCCACATCCAAACCAGTTGCTCTTTTGACTCAAGCCATACCACAGCTGATACAAAATGGCAACTATCGGTTTCTTATTTAACCCTATCCTGTCTGCAGAATGTGAAGGGTCTGTCACTCAATCCCCAACTGCATCAAATAGCCTTGGTGCCCCAGAAGACACACAGACAAGCTTTAATTTTATTTATTGAGTCATACATTGGCTCATTTGAAGCTACCATGAACTCAGACTTAATTCATATCTGTCTTTAACATTCTTGAGTTCTTCTCATGTTGAAATTGAATGAAAATGAAAAGTTAGAGCTTATTTTCTCTCATTTTCAATTCTTAATCTTCAAATCATAAGAACTTGGCCCCAAATAGATATGAGCTAGTCAAGTTAGCTAAGCCTTATTGATAATATAAATAATTATTAACACAAGTGGCGGTAGACAACACCAACAACAAAATTAAAATGAGTGCAAGCAAAATGGAAAACAGAGACAATCCAGAAGCAGAAAATTCACTTCAATATTTCAGAGAGAGAAAGTGGAGTTATACTATGACTGTGATCTTTAATATTTTAAGCATTCTCACTGTTGTGTGCATATGTGTAATTTTCTAGTATGTAGAAGTGTAGGAAGTAAAGGAAAAGGATTTTTCAGGGTTAGGGTTACCGTAAATTCTCTATTAAGCCCCCCCTCTCAAATAAGCTCCCCCCCCCCTCCAATAAGCCCCCCCTTTTCAGAGGAGGAAAGCTAATAAGCCCCCCTCTCTATTAAGCCCCCCTCCTTTCCCCTTCCCCAATCCTTATTCTTCACAAAAAAAATTAACGATTAACGTGGACTGATTAGTTATGGTTTATTCAGGCTGAAAGTTCATATTGTTTTTGGTCTTCGGCCGCATGACCTCCAACTTCATATGCTTAACTTTCTCAACTTTGAGCTCTAGTTCTCTGTGGAGAACATTTTTGAAGAATAATAATTTTGTTTTTGTTACTTTTAGGCTCCCACAAGTGCAGAAATAAATACTTTTGACAGTGACTTTAATTGTACAACGCGTAAGTCTACTCTGTCTCATACCACGGTATTTTTGCTACAGGTGATGCGTTTTGCTAAATTAAATAAGCCCTCCCTTCTCTATTAAGCCCCCCCCTCAAAAGTGCTTGGAAAAAATAAGCCCCCGGGGGGCTTAATAGAGGATTTACGGTACCTCAATAAAACACATCTGTCATATGAAACATCTTGTAACACTCTCTCTCTTGGTTCACCTCATTCTTTATTTTAGAGGTATAGGGGTATCTTGGAGTCAAGAGCCTCTATATTACAAAATTCTGCCTACTTCCCTGAATAAGTAATGGCATCACACACATTTAATAGATGTTATGCTTTGGGACTTAAGTTTTATAGCATCCAGTCAAAAATGGAAAAATACAATTTCATAGCGCTGGGTGAGGTATCTTGGAAATGTAATCACGTAATCAGTCGCAGAACTAGTGCACTGCACCTGGTCTGGACACTAGTGGCTAGGGTGGGGTATCTCTCACAAGTAATCACTGGCAGAGTCACTGCATTGAGGTTACACATCTCTGAGCAATAGGGCGTTCCTGAACCATAACTGACGTGAAATCGTATATAGTGCGGGGACATTGTCGCAAGAATTGTAATTTTGACTATCTAAAAAGAGTAGCATTTAGAATTTTTTTCACAGCGTTTTAATCTCAAGCATAAATAACAATAGTTCACAACTTACATGACGAGATTTTTTTCCCAGTTATCAAGTATTTTAATAGTGGCGTTTTGCACCTGTTACACAGAACCCTATCTAAGCTTGACGTGTCCGCGCACAAGCCAAAACACGAAACAAAATCACTCATGGACCACAAACCGCGAAAAATTGTGAATGATCTGCGACTTATTAGCCCTGAGACCAATCTCGCATATTACACAGAAAACTTTGTCTTTTCTGCACTCTACAAAGATAGAACAGATAACTAAGACGATGGTAATTTTTAAAGCAAGCGCCACTTTTCTTTGCTACATTCGCTGCGATCCAATACTACCAAAAACTTCCGTCCAGCGGCTCGCGCATACTCGCAACGTTACCACTTGTTGTTTCTGCTCACACCTTCTACAAAAGTTTCGTTATGAAGTTTTACGCTACAACTAGGTGCACAGAGAACGATAATTATATGTCCGAACAAGTGTGACACCGTGAATTGTTTTGCTTTCTATGAATATCCTAAATATTCAGATTTATCTTGGGGCAGAATAAGAATCTTGTTATCATAGGTCGTATAATATTCCACAGTTTGTAACGCAAGGGATAGTTAATCCGTATAAAGGCATTGAGTTTAATGTTTAAACGTAAGATTGAATCAGTTCGTTTGCAAAGTGGTTAACAAAATTGCTTGAATTGTGGAATTCAGGTAAACGAGAATACCCCAAAAAATGGCTAATGTATTTAGATGTAGACAGCTCTTGCAAAATAATTCCAAGAAAAGCCGATGTCGGTGGACATTCAACCGTTTCCGAGAAAAACATTAAACGGCCAAGTCATAAATTCACCACGGATATTTTGAAAACTTTGTTGTCGCTGCTGACGCTAAAAATTGCCTAGTATGTTTTAATTTACCCAAGAGCAAAAGCAATAACGAATCAATAATAATGATGATCGGTTCATAGACTTGATGTTGCCAGAGTTCTGACAGATTTCTAATCTGGGATAACGCGGAACTCCGCGCTGAGGTCTAAAGTACTACCTCGCAATTGGCTCTGTACTTTTCAATGTTGAAACAACGATAAATAAAAAGAAAAAACGAGCTATTTTTTATCTCTTCTGATGACAAAACTGCAAACGACACTCGATAAGTTTGTTCTTCCAAACACACGAAGCTTACAGTTTAGCGTAACGCGTAATATGTCCGCAGTTGCATGGGGAACACGAAGGAATCAATACTGATTTGGGGCTTATTAATTACTGTACCTTGTTTTACCTTGTCCGGTCTTCACAATTAATAATTATGCTGCTTTGATCGAGCATTTACAATGTTTGAAAATGTATACGGAATCGTATGTACGGTCACGTTGAAACGAGACTGGCTATACTTATTATCATACAAATGTATTGTTGAAGACAAAAATACCTGAATGGACTTTAATCCTCAAAAGTCTTTGCACTGCTGATAGTTTCTTCACTCCATTTTCAACCCATCAAAGTTAAGCAACAAAGGACAGGGCAGAAAAGTCGAAAGAGTCACTTTAAATAGCCTGCGTAGCAGGCGCTCGAAAGCCCAAGCGTAGGAAAGAACGGGGCGCGCGAGAGAGACACGCGAGGGGAGAGGGAGCGCCTGCCCTTGGAACCTCAAAGAATCATGGGAATTAAAGGAAGACGGTCACGTCTGTTTATTTTATCTTGACCACAAAAGACTACTGCACACTGAGTCTCAAAAAAATGTGTTGCATCCCCGTTACTGGTTTACTTATTGAATTAGCTAGACTTTTAAGCTATTCATGTTACCATTTTTGAATTTTTATCAACTTTTATTGACTTAATTTGATACCTTAGGCACATAGTTTACCAAGAGATCATAATTATGGCTCTTGAGTTTACTTAATTGGTTTCTTTTGTTACCTTTTTAAATTATATTTCATAGCTACTGTAAGTAGATTGCAAATTTGTTTTAAATGAGCTTTTAAGATTGTTATTATTAATTATTATTCTTATTCTTATTCTTCTTATTATAAATTATTATTATTATCATTATCATTGATAATAGTTTTCGTTTATATCGTAATCGTTCTCAGTTTTCTCTTTCTCTTTGTCTTTCACTCGGGTGTCAAGTGGCACTATTATTAATGCAGCCAGCGTTAGGCCATGATCCTGGTGGTAACGAGGCGCTCTTGAAGGTAGGCTATTAGAAAGGCGGGTTGTGTTCTGCGCATTTGTGGAGTGATGTTTCGGGAAAACCGGGTCATCTAGTAGGTCATAACGAGAGACTATTGTGTATTTTATTGCCTTTTAGTCTCGAAATTATATCAAAGTCGAAAGTGCTGACAAGATTATTGTGCAGTGTCCAAAATGCGAAAAGGAGTTTACGAGGAACTGAAAAACAGCGGACGAATGTGTGTTTTTCGTTTTGTTTGTTTGTCAGTGGTTTCAGTTTCTCGACGAAACCGACAAAGAAATACTTGCATGTATTTTTACACGTCAACGGCTTAATTATAAAACATAGTGTCAGTTTGAGTGTAATTGCCATTTTCCTGTTAACCTCGACACTCTCTTTCACTAGGAAAAAAGGAATAAAGTTCACTGCCAATGCCACTACAATGAAATAGTAGCGTTACTTATGGTAATTATAACGACTGATGATGAAAGTCACAAAAGCGTGACATGTTCAACTTCCGGTTTTCCACGAAAGTCAAGTAAGGCAAATAACGGACGTTGCTGTTCAGTCCGCCAACTGTGTTTCTCTTCTTTTATCGCAAAGCTCGTGGTTGATTGTCGCTGTAGCCGACTAACCCAAATAATCACATGGAACCAGGCCGGCGATACTTTTCATCGCCGCTACTCCCGAGGCATAACCGCACCTGGGAATTAGAAAGCAATCGCACCGATCCGAAGATATTGGTTGCTTTCGACGCACAATTTCTGCGGCAGCTACGACAACTCCCAGACGAACTGGAACTGTTAAAACGTCATTGTAATAGCGGTACGAAATCAACGTTCAGGTAATGCAAACTGGGATAAGCAATTCAAATCATAGTTGTTGGAATTTTACATTTTTTTAATGGTTAGACTTGTGTGAAACATCTAATTTTAGACATTCAAAAAGCCTCGTTTCACTGTCGTATTTGTCTTTGCGAACTTGCTTAGTTTGATTTACATACACAACGGTCGCTTTGATGAAAATTCACTACATCGGGCTGCTGCCGTTGCTCACTGAGTACACGTGTCACATATAAACATCAAAGAGCCCGTAAAAGAGAGATCGCATTTATTTTGTTATGAAATTTTACCATCCGATCAATCAATCTGTTTAGTGTGATTCGGTTGCCCTATTTTCTTTTCTTTTTTTTAATCTTGCATGCTGAAAGTAGATGCACACTAAGTTTGACGTATTTGTAGTTCAAATCTTTTGAGCCACTTAGACTGCGCGTTTGATTGGCTCCTGTGAGTTCCTTTGTTTATAACGAATAAAAATGCGTCGTTTATTTCCTTCCACTTGTACTGAATTACCTTTTTATTCTGCATCATGTTATCTTAAAAACTGCATTTCTCTATATCCAATCAGTGGTCGGTTCCGGCAATTCTACTTTTTGTCAAAGCGTGGATTACGCATGAGGAATTGGCATCGAAATGGTCTAATGCGTTAAAATCAAAGTCTTTATATGTGTTTTACACTCAAAAATAAAAAAGGATACCCTTTTTTAACTTCGACTCGCCGTTATGAAGACCTGAGAAAAGTGCCCCCTTTTTTCATAAAAAGCCGGATATTTTTAGGAGTTGTGTACGTTGTCTTCGATATAAAGTGAACCAACTTTCTTGAGTAATATTTATATCTCACTAATCGCAAAAAAGCTGGAAAGAGAAATTTCTCAAGTTTTTACAACTTTTTTGCCTTTTTCTTCAAAGTTGAAAAAAGTCGACTTTTTCCCGGCCCCTTTCCTTTTTTGGTCTTTTTGGCGAATATTGGTGGGAGTCCCAATTTTGATTTCGGGCCTCTCGACTAACAGCTGTAAAAAAATGGCGGAAAATTCTGGGCAATGGTGGCGTTAATTTACAAGTGTTTATATGTAGTTGAACACTTTGTATTCCGGCAATGTTTCAAGACGTCGGACGTTCACGTCAAGATTAAGACGGACGAGAAATAAAAAAGGGGTAAAACTTAAGTCTTCAACTCTAAACAAAGGTAATCTGGCCATGATATTTAGCCTCGATTTAAACAGGGGATCTACGTACATTTCCTTCGAAGAAGAGGAGATAATTCCACCCTTAGATGCTGGCTTTTAGCACGTCGAGGACTTTGAGAAGACGTACACGAGGACGGCGACAAGAACAATCTCAACCCTCCACCTGGGCAGAGTGCGCTGGCCGTACTAAAACGACCAACCTTCACCACCACCAAGGAGGGTCAAGGGACGTGGAAGAAATCGCTTGTAGTAGTGGACATGTTCCCGTACATGTCGCTGACCGAAGAAACTTCTTCGGTCGATTGAAGTACATAGGTTACTAAAAACAACAATTAGGCTTTGAAGTGGTTCTTCTGGATGCAAATACTTCATCAACAGACGAAGTTTCTTTGGTCAGCGACACGGTGCACCTGGAACTTTTCTCCGATTTCGCCAGACGGCGACACGTCCACCATACAAGCGATTTCGTCCACGTTCGTTTTAGTTGAGATTTGTTCGTGCGGTCGTCCTTTGCTAAGAAAAGAGGTACACCAAGCGCTGTAGACTGCATTGCGGCCACTACTGAGCGAACTGAGTTCGCAGTCACTCGTTCGTCTCCGTTTGAAGACAAAGGACGTCTTCTCACAGTCCTCAACGTGCTAAAAGCCAGGATGAGAGAATTAACTCCCCTTCTTTGAAGGAAATGTACGAAGATTTCCTGGCTTAGGACGAGCCTAACTATTATGGTCACTGAGTACCGTTGTTCTCGTTCATCTTAATCTTGACATAAACGTCCGACATCTTGAAATATAAGATTGCCGGAACACAAAGTGTGCGACTACATATGAACACTTGTAAATTAATGTCACAATTCATTGCTCATAATTACCTGTCATTTTTGACAGGTGTCAGTCGAGAGGACCGAAGATTGGGATTCTCGCCTTTATTTGTCCACTGTCCGCCAAAAAGTCCAAACAAAGATAGGGGAAAAAGTCGTCTTCTTTTTTTTGCGTTAAAGAAAAAGGCACAAACTTGAAAAAACTCGAGAAATTTCTATTTCCAGCTTTTTTGTGATTGCTGAGATATAAATATTACTCAAGAAAGTTGGGTCACTTTATATCGAAGACAAATCCTAGGAATATCCGGCTTTTCATGAGAAAAGGGGCACTTTTCTCAGGTTTCCATAACGCCTAGTGGAAGTTAAGAAAGGGTTTCCTTTTTTTAGTTTTGAGTACGGAAAACAAATGCAGATCTTGATTTTTAGGCGTTTTCATTTTCGTAATCCGCATTTTTGCAAAAAGTATAATTGCGGGAACCGACCACTGATTACAGATCTCTGTTATGGCTTCACAAATAGGTCAGAAGCTTGGGATGATCAACCACAGTACCAGCAATGGAGTACCCGAGAGGAACGTCTGAAACTTGAATACGCAGAAGAGTAAGTAGTAATAGTGAAAAACTGAATTTATTCATTCTTTCAATAAAATTAATAAAGACAACTGAGTCTTATGCGCGTCGAGAACGTTTTCACATGACGTCACATCCGCCATATTGGTATACTAAAACTGTAAAACGGCGGCCATGTTGGTGGTCATAACCAATCCTGTGGGTGTGGAATCTTCGCTCCAAAAATTTTGCATAACTGCTGACCGAGTTAGTGAAAACGCTCTGTAATGGTTAATGGATTGCCTTCCTATTTTGTTGTTGTTGTGGTTGTTAAAAAGTGCACATAACCTAAAAATGTTTTATGTTAAATGAAAGAATGCACTACTACAAGGACTTCTTCGTAACAAATTTGCGTTTGACCAAATGAGATTTTTAAAGTCTAAATTTCATTGGTTCACCCGTTCTGTTAATCACGAAATTGACAGGCTCATTTGTGACGTCACGAGAAATTAACTCTTTCAAACTTTTTAACTTAACGAGATTTTATGCATGCTTATCCCTTTTTAAGGGTCTCCTGCGTTGTTGCATCTCACTGTAACACATCTTACTGGCATGGTTCACATTTTAAGAGCTGTTTTAGTTTGTGAATTGAACGAAGTATTTCAAGAACTTAATATTTACTTGTATCTAAAGTTACTTAAATACGTGTTCCACAATTTAAGTAATAGTTCATTAATCTACCCCACTTCTCCCGTTTCCGCGGGAATTTCGAGAGAAGGCGAAGACTAGTGGTTTGCAAAAATGGTAGCAAATTGTAACATTTGAACAAAATTCTACAAAAATCACGTTATGTTGAAATCATTTTTTTTTTCGCAGTAGTTCTAGTAGTAATGCATACTTTAGACTTGACTATAAGGGAAATGGGTACAAGTTTTCGGCGGGACGATTTCTGGAATCATTTGGGGGGACAACCATTACTTATGATGGGTTAAAGGTTCTCTTAAATGCTATCGACCAATCATAACTAACACTTGTCCACCCAAACAATCCCAGAAATAACTGCACCCAAAGCTTCTGCCCATTCTCCCAAGAGTTTCTGAAGTGGAGAATTTAGTGCTAGTGCTTATGTTCTGGAAGTTTTCAGTGTTTTTAAACAAACGGAAACCTAAGTTTTCAACTCCATTAAGATTAATTATAAGCAATAAAAGTACTATAGGTACTCTTACTAAAATTACTATCAATAATTTTATTACTATTTTAGGTATGTAAAGCTCCAAAATCGTTACAGAGACCAGCTGATGAAAGAAACAGAGAGTTATCAAAGGGAGAACGAAAATTTAAGAAAGCAGTTAGAAAAGTGGTGAGTGCAGTGTTTATAATCGTTATAATCGACATACACCTAAAAAGCCTGGAAGTCTGTCGCGCCGCAGACAACTTTTATGACCCCTTTTTTTGTTTAATTTTTATAAATTTTTGAAAAATGTTTTTCTTCTGTAAAGAAATAATTTTTCGCGCTTATGTGTTTTCCTTAACTATTGTTCGGAATGATTTTTTTCTTTGCCATTTTACAATTTCCGGAAGCGCATTATAAGTGATATTTTTAAGCCATTTTTTTTTTTTTCATTTTGCTGTCATGAGAGAGCGGGGGTTTTGTTTGACGCCGGGCACCGGACGCAACGTTCTGTTGTTTGACATTTAAAGTCCGGTGGTTTACACACAAAATATTTTTTTTTTAAGGGTGAAAATGTTTTTTTTTTTTTTTAATCAAAGGTAAGGTATATTTGACCCTTATTTTACTCACATATTTATGTAATGCATACAATTCTTGTGAGCATTTTTTCCCTAACGCCTTAAAAGGCCTTTCTGGTTAACTAATTCAGGTCCAGGAAACGCATTAAATTGCATTTTAGAGAGTCCAATTTTAAAAATTTCCTTCAGCACGAACGGTGTAAGTCCAGCAGCTAAACCTCTGCATCAATTCCAAATGTTACCGAAAACCCTGAGAGAGGATGTCTCAACAGATGCTTCGCGCAAATTAGAGCTTGCAGCTTTTTATAATCTGTCTTTCTATCACTGATATTCTTTTAATTTATATTGTTTATACTAATATTTGTCGCTCTGAAAGTCAACTGGCTTATTTAGCCGCCTTAACATAAGCCTGCGTAGCAGGTGCTTGGAAGTAATGGGCGAAAGAACGGGAAGCGCGAGCGAAACACGCTTAAATAGTATAATCAAAGTGCAGACCCTAAAGGTCACTTCAATGGGACTATGTGGCTGTACTCTAAAAGAAAAGTTGGAGTGTTCAAACGCTATTCACAAAGGAACGATTTGACGTCAAATACGCATTAAGAGCAAAAGCGGCGACAGACAAAAGATCTGTCGAATCGTTGCCATGAAGTTCAGAGGAATGACTCTTTTTCATAAAGAACTTGGTGGTTTGCCCTGGCGATGGAACGCATACCATCAAAACCTGGACAGGACTGATACAATACAATACAATAACTTTATTTAAAGAGGGAAGCGCAATAACCTTTTACAGTTTTCTAACCTACGGCCCTCAAAAAAATAGATAAATAGATAAATAAATTTAGAAGACTAAAAACAAATAAATTTATAAATATATATATATATATATATATATATATATATATATACACAAAAGAGACAATATTTAAAGTAGAATAGGCTATAAACACGTAATGAATAATATATAAATCGACGAAGGGGGGCAAAATATGTACTATAAATGAACATGTATACATATATACATAAATATAAATTAAAAGACGTAATAGTGGTTGTAGTAGGACTATGAAAAACAGTGACAATGAATAGAAGAGCGGCAAGTCGAGCACAGTAGATCCTCCAAATGCTCGGCCGATGATAGGCGTGAGAAAAACAGACTTCGTAATTTAGACTTAAGAGAGGAGGGAAGAAATTTAAATATCAGTGGAGAAGAAGAAATAGAAAACTCTTCTAAGTCGGAACTGAGGTCATTAAAAAGTTTAGTAGCAGTATAGGCCAAGGTGCGTTTCCCAGGGTTGCTATGTGGGCATGGCACCTTTAAGTCATAGAGAGAGGCTCTTGTAAAACGGCCCAGAGGTCCACGCGAATCACAAAGAAATTGAAATCTGTTCCTGAGACATTTAGGAGCATTCGGATTAAGGAGTACGATGAAAAGAAGAAAAAGTTTCCTGTATTTAATAAGATCAAAAACGGGAATCCAGTTAAGTTTTAGAAATAAAGAAATAGAAGTCTGAGAGAGGTCGGCATCAAGGAGGATACGCCCAGCACGCTTCTGAAGACGAAGCAGTCGTAAGAGGAGATGGTAGGAACAGTTACCCCAGGCAGCGGAACAATAAATAAAGTAGTTGTTAACACAAGAATTATAGAATCTTAAAGCACAATCAAAGTTAAGATAAGGTTTGATGCGACGGAGAAGAGAAAGCCTACTCCTAATGATGCAGCAGATTGTCTAGAAAAAAAGCCGTGTCAAGAGGGAATTCATACCTGAATGGTTCAACAGTGAAATTCAAGCCGTTCAACAATGAAATTCAAGCCGTAATGAAACACTTTAAAATCAGGGGCATGAATTTGAAAAACCTATCGCTATGATGGTTATTATTCGCTTGAAGGCGAACGGACGTCTGATGTTTATGTCCCGTGACTGCAGCCTATAAGTCTAGGTCCGCCCCCCCTACCCCCAGACATGTCTTCTCCAAAAACGGTTACTACTTGTGCAGTAAAAGCCATGGTCATTTCCCACGTGTGCTGTGATCTTTGGTGTCTGTACAGTTGTGATTTTGTAATCTCAGAATTTTTTATGGTACACAGTACGCATTCTTTAAAAAATATCCATTTTTGACAATGTTATTATTATTATTATTATGT